ATTTTATTTTAATATTTAGATGGAAATTAAGGTCTTATGCATCAAATGATAGTAAGTAATATAGTTCAAAGAAGTTTGAAACTATAGAAAATTGAGAGAGAAACCTCTATCATGGAGGACAAAGAAAAGAACAATGGAAACCACCTCAATTTCATTCAATTATTAAACCCTTTAATATAAACAGAAACTCTATTTTTTTCCAAAAAAACCCTTAACTTATTATATTATTTTCCTACAACCTAGAACTTCTAACACTCTCCCTCAAGATGAACTTTGGACAAAATACTTCATTCATGAGAGACTAGAATATTATTATAGTATTTGTAAGGCCAAAAACATTATAATAAAATTCATAACATCCTTGTGTGTTTAAAAAAGTACCCCAGAGATGTCTTTCATCTTCCTTTGAATCTCATCATAACTTGATTAAAGAAGATAACAGCCAGCTGTAATTCATCTAGTAGTTCATCAAAATAGAACTCATTTTTTCCTTGTGTTTGGAGTTTAGTTATAGTAAGATGTAATCTCCTTTTTTCTCCACGAAGATTCTTATACTAGAATGTTGCATCTTTGGACCTCACATGAGCCCTTCAATTTGTGGTGGAATAATAATTTTACCACTCTTGACCCATCTATTCTACCCTAACAATGAGTTATTAGTTCTCTCCTTCCTAAAAATAAATTTAATATCTCTTTGACCTCATATTTTACTTTTATTTTACATTCACATTCCCATACACTCCAAGTAATATTATTTATTTCTTCCACTAACTAGGTTGTCTCCATAATTTAGTTTAAGCTGATGGGTTTGAGCACTCTAATATTTGTCTTGAATTATAATTTTAAGCCCTTCATAAAAGCAAGGTGCTCTCTAATTATTTTTCTAACAATTTGTTTATTGGGATTGACATAATTTTAAATTTTCTTCAATATTCTCCAATTGACACTTGTTTTTTTATGTCTAAAGATACTCACATAAGCTCCTCGCTTGGGATTAGTCAAAAGACTGCACTACTCTTGTTTTAAATCCCTACATCTCTTGAATAGGCTACATGAATTAAGTTGTGCTTCATTTTCAAAATTTCTTCTATCATTCATTCATCGAGGTTACCTTTTTTGAATAGAGATGTTTTTGATTTACGCTATTGTGAATCCATGCTCTTCCCAGAATTCTACATACGAGCTTGTCCTCTCTCCTCTCTATGTCTTCTTGGTTATCCTTAGTTGTTTTCTTAGTTCTTCTTGTGATTTGAGATTCACCACAACTCAGCCTTCATTTTTATCGTCTTATGTTTCATCTTTGTTACCTCTAACTTCATTTTTATTGTTTCTTTCTCCATGATGGCCATCTCATTGTCATGAGTCTAGTGTGCCATCATACCAAAAGGGTTTTTTCAATGCTTTCATATCAAATGATAGAGATTGAGACCCACAAAAAGAGAACAATAGAACCATAAGAATAAAAAATAAGTAGATCACTCAATTATAACCCTTAATCCCCAAATCCTAGATGACCCCTCCTTTTGAGAGAGCCACTGCTCTCCACCTCTAGCCATCTTCATGCCTTCCTAGCATTGGAAACCCCTCCTCTTATTTATCATAACTCCATTGCTCGAAATTACTTTGAAGCCTTAGACTTAAGTTGGACAGTGTCAATTATGCTGGTCTTTATTCTTCAGTTATTTCTCCACCTTAGACTCTAGTTTTTTCTCAGAACCACTAAATAGTATATCACTTACTGAACTATGTTATGTGGTGTGCCCAGTTTTGACATTAGTTTGAGATTTACCGCATTACGTAGAAAAATATTCTTTATTATAAGAAATATTGTTGGCATTAGTTCTTATTTAAGTAGGCAGCTATTATCATTGAAATGTGCATTGATTATTTTCACGAATTAAATTGACTTATCTGATTTCAAAGCCATTTGTCACAACACATTCGAAGAACCCTCAGAATTCATCCCCCACTTTAGAGATTTCTGAGGTTGTCCTTTAATCTACTGCTGCAGATCACGAGGAAGCAACCCCCGGACTTCAACCCTCATCCAGTCAGATTTGCATGCCCTCATCCAGTCAAATTTCCAATCACGATGACCATAACCCGCGAACTACCGAGCTTAAGCGACGGCCGCGCCGCTCAAGATCCATTATTGAATGATTATTTAATAATTCCAATCCTAAGCAAGCTCCAATTTTTGGGAGATAAAACTGAGACTTCGGTCTGCTTTGAATGTGTAAGAAGATCCACTTCGAGATTTTTCTGACCTCTCAAATCCCCCACCAACTAGTATGAACATCGTACATGGTTGTGCCAGTGACGTTTGGGAAGTCTTACGGTCACAAATATTATATGGAAATTCTGAAAGAACATCCCAAGGACGAATTGTTGAGTAAACATGATATCGAAGGGTCATAATGGCGGCCGTTTCTTTGGCGTTTGGCCACAGAAATGTGGAACTGAGAATGAACTAGAAAAAGGTGCAAAAAGGGCACCCAGGAGACGGAGATTTAGGGACGCAGTAAAAGGGATATCAGAGCGTCTGAATGCAAAGGCGTAGTTGTCAAACCGGCTTTGCCAGAATCTGTAGCTCAAATTATTCTCGGCAACGTACAGCGCTGACACTGCTATCGAGTAAGCATGCCAGCGACTCTAATTTATTGCCTTTCCAGCAAAATTGGAGGAAATACACCGAATGATACGAAGATCCAGTACACAGTCCATTACAATCAAATATGCGCAACCATCCTATAGTATGTATGATCTTCAGAGTGACGCAAACATTTCGAAACCGTTCAAACCATCGAAAACAGGAGAAATCTCTCGCGCAATCGGACCGTTCCAGATCATGGAAGACGACTAAAAACAGGCGCTAAACCGGAAAAACTAGAACAGGCTAGGTCCTCCCTCCGCCAGCCATAACTGGCAATCCAATAGCCCCGGCACCGGAAATCACAGTCGAGAATCGCCGATTGCAGGCGAAAACGAAACAGATGGCGAAATGAAATTCGAAAATCACTATAGCTATCAGGCGTGCGACGACACGGGGGCCTCAGTTAAGAGATAATGCGTCTCATCAGAAACCGCAAGCGGTTCTCGGATGGTACGGACAATGCATAGCATCAGCGGCCAGTCTCAGCAAGCAATGACTAGACCACGAAGAGGGAAAGAGAAAAATGAGCTGGGGACCAGGTAGAGAGAGGCGCAGGCGAACCGAGCCATCTGCAGAGAGAGATTAGGGTTTCGTCACCAGGTTGCGGAAGGTCGGCGGCAGTCGATGGCATTATATATAGAGACGGGTGGAAGATCGTGGGAGGAAGATCGGGCCCGACCCGATCTCATCATAAAGGCCCTGACTCGGATGAAAGCCCGGAAAGCCGGACCCGACCAATGTGGTAGAGAAAAAAGCTTTGGGGGGCTGCTGCATTAGATAGGGGGCATTAAGGTCAGCCCAATTATCATTTAACAATGTTTTTCTTCTTAGCGCATTTTTGGGAAAAAATGGATTACATCTGTAGCGTAAATAAAATCATGAATCTAATAGTTGACCTTGTGGGTCATGTCAACCCAAGTATCTCCTAACCATGATCTTCTTCTTAGTGCATTTTTATGAAAAAAATAGATTAAATATAGTGTAAATAAAATCGTGGATCTAAATCAACAAATATTAAATAAATAATAATTAAACCTCAAAATCATAAGAAAATGCCCTCATATAGCTTCATTAAAAATCATGAAAATAATAAGTAAATAATAGAAAACCCAATTCGCATGAAATTTATGGAGGAAAATCCATGAATCTGTGCAATATAACATGAGAAATGTGGTGCTAGGACAAACAAAAAATGCCAGCATATGAGTCCGAAACCCATGAAATCAAAGTATATAGATCCTAGATACACACTCAAGGTTCACAAGTATGTTTAAAGAGCCCAAATTCCCTGATAAACTGAGAAATATCTTCCACGCGTAGTAATTTCACACTTAGGAGGGCTACTTATAATGGGCAATGGAGGGATATATAGTGAATGAGAATGAGATCCTAGGAGTGCTTCATCTCGTAATAAACTTCTTCTTTTTTTGTTGTATTTATGAATATGTGCCATAATTTTTTTTGTCTTGTTTTCTTACCTTCTTGTAATTAATGTATTGATGTTTAAGCTGCCTGACTGTTAGAACAAAACTTACATTCTCATTCACTTTGATGGGTAATGGACGTGACATACATAGTGGCGACCTTTTGGTTAGTCCTATGTTATATGGTCTCCATAACTTCTCTTGCCTTTCTAGGTGAGATCAAAGTGTGGCTCTAGACCTGAAAAATCGAAGAATGGATCCCTTCGGTCTAATGGTCACTGATTTTTTTCCATCGATGCACATTAATAAATTCTACATTATTTATTTGTTATGCCGATGCACGTTTAGATATGGGAACATTTTAGTCGCTACCAATGCAAGTAGAACTCGCCTGCAATTAAATTACAAAAAGTTAATTTTCTCACACTTTTAAATATTGTTTTCTTTTTTAAAAAATACAACATAATTTTAATTCAATAAAATTAAATAAATGTACAAAAATCTTGGGAATGGAGAATAAGGGGGTTGGTTAACAAGGGCCGGGCCGGAATTTATAACCACTCAAAACCAATTAACATAAAATCAGTATAATATAAATTCCAATACTATATCTGGAAAGTGCATGAGATTATTCGTCATAAACATATTTCCAACATTTCTTTTGACTTTTTTTGTTGGAATTATCAAGCATGGGGGCTAATTTCTAACAGTGCAAAACGGCAACTGAGAACATGAGGAAGTTAAAGAAAAGGAAGATAAGATCGAAGGGCTAGGCATTGCTACAAAGATGAGATCGGAGGGCTAGATTTAAAAGAAAATAAAATCAACGGCAACAATGCACAGGAACCAGAGCAAGTGCACAACGCACCCAGAGAGATTATCATCATATTTACAGGAGGAAGATGAAACGAGGCGGAGGGGGATTAGATTACTCTACCGTAGTCCTTGGAGGGCTCTGACACGTCAGCCTCGTGAGACTTCTTGAGCTTGGCGACGAGGACCCACATACTGGCCAGCTCGTTCTCCAGGCGGGCTTCTCGTTGCTGGGCCTCCTCCACCCTCCTCTGGAGCTCCCCCTCCCGCCGCTCCCTCTCCATCAGCGCCGCCTCCAGAGCCAACTCCCGCTCGAAGGTCACGGCGGCGCCGCCGTCTCTCCTCCCGGAAGGGTGGTCCTGCCGTTTGGGGTGGCTGGCGGCGTCTCTCCGGCCGGCCCTCGCGGCAGCGGTCCCTCTCCGCGGCGGCGGGGGGGGATTCCGAGGGGCGGCGGCCGCCATCTCCGCCGCCAGCAGCTCGTTGTGGTTCATCAGCTTGGTCACCTCCTCGGAGAGGGCCTTGAGCTCAGAGCCGGCGGCGGAGGCTAGGCCCTTGGCGTAGGAGCACTCGTCGGCGAGCCTCTGGTTTCTGGTCTCCAACTGGGCCTTCTGCTCGGTGAGCTCGGTCAACTTCCTCTTAAGCTCCTCCACTTCAGCCGCCTGCCGAGAAAGGAAATAAGAAATGAGATTTTTTAAAAGGAACTTGGTGGTAGGACTGGGGCTCACTGCTCCACTGGCTTGCCTTCTGTGCGGACACGTCGCGTAGGAATACAACTGGGCCCCGGCTGACCCAGGTTTTAGGTCTAGACGGTCTGGCAGATTTTAGGCCACCTCTATATTTTGAGAGAGAGAGAGAGAGAGAGTTTATGGGCTCGGACACAACTGGGCCAAACTGGGCTCGGCGAGGCCATTGACACCCTAAATGCCTTGAAAAGCCAATTGCCCTGAAGAGGGTCGGGAAGAGAGTGAGGGAGAGAGAGAGATAGAGAGAGGTAATGTAGGGGAGAAATCAAAACCTGAGCCTGAATTCGCAATTCAGCCTGAGCCTGGGCCAGGAGATCAGATGGCTTGGGGCAATGGGCAGAGACTTTTAGAGCCTCCTCGAGCTGTCTTGACAGAGAGCCAACAGCCTCTCTCAACCCCTCGCATTCGTGAATCTGATGAAATAAGTCGTCAGAATATATCACATTGCCCAGTTGGGCTTCAAGAGCTCCACATCTTGTAGATGAATTTACAGGTGGCCTTACCTTCTGGTTTAGCTGCTCTTGGATCACTCTGTTATCTGCGGTTTTAACCTACATAAGCAACATTATTGACCCCGTGCTGAGAAAATGTTGAAGAACAGCACAATCGCAGGGTTCAAGGAAAACTCGAGGGATATTAGAATTCTTTTTAATCAGTAATTTACTTTTCAAATTTTAGAATATCGAATTTACGTGATTTTCAGAATTTCTATAACTAGGAATTTTGTAATGCTAAAGATAAATCAATAGGATTTAAATGGCCATAACTTATTGGAATTTTTACTCGGAAATTGTATTTTTCATTTCGGGGAAACTAATTTTATGGTGTAAATTGATTTCAGATTTTCCGAAATGACAGTAATTACCTCGAGTTCGAAGGTCTTCTCGTTTAACTGCTCAAGCAATTCACCGTACGACTGAAGAAGAGAAGAACAAGAAAAAGAGAAGATCACGAATGAGAGGTAATCATCGTAGGTAGTTCGAGAAAATGAAGTCGCTGGCAGCGGCCCCCACCTTTTCTGTATGATTTTGACCGGTGATCACCGACTTGGAGAGCTGGCTTTCCAGAGATGCTATCTGCCCACTCTTCACCTTGATCTCGTTGCTGACTTTCGTTATCTCCATCTACCCAAAAAAACAAAAAAAGCATTCAAATAAGGAGGAACAGGCAATAAATAAAAAAGGGTGGAACAAGGTTGGCTTTTAAACGATACTAATAATAAGAAAACAATAAAATAATAATAATAATGTCATCCCTACTTGAATATGTTCCTTCATGGGGCTGTTTGCCAACTCATCTGAGAGGCGTTTTAAAACGCTTGAATGGAGGGCTACTTCTCCAGACAAGATCTTCACCTGCTCCCTCAGCAGCTCGGCGTGGTCTGTGGACTTCATACTAGTCTGAGAATGAATCGAAGCCCAGTTATAACCAATTATGACGGTCAATGAAGGGAATGCTCTTTGATGCTATCTTTCTTTATGGTAGGATTATTTCTATTCGACTTAAATGTAGACTGAGGTTCGAAGGTCTGGTGAACACAGTGCTCATATGAAAGTAGTCAGAACCCTTGTTTCATAAATAGAGGCCTTCTATCTTGGAGATTAACCAGAGGAGAGTATATTTATAAAAATAACTACGAAGGTAAATAAAAGGTTATGCTTCAGCGTGATACGTACTAAGGATATGTGCTTAGTACATGCAATTTGTTTAAATTAGTTTAATGAGAAAATGAGGGATTGTTCTGACCATTATTGATGAGCAAGAAATGAGGCGTATATAAATGAGAGGAATTTTATGGAAAAAAGATTATCAAATCGGGCCCATAGTAGACCAGCGTGATGCAAAGAAGGAAACATCACTTCGTGTAGAAACAGAAGAAAAACAGCGTGATGCATGAGGTTTATGCGTTTAATTCTAGGAAACAGAAGAAAAACATGATAAATGCCTTATTAAATGAGTAATAATCATATGGCCGGATATACGCTTCAAGGTCATTCTAATGAAAATTGCTGAAGAGTAGAAACGCGCAAGGGTAGCGCATCACATAAACAACAGGAAGAAATTCTCTCATCAGACCAATATTATAAGGGAATGAATAATTCAACAGTAAAAGCAATCATCTAGCAAAATGTTGTTCTTATGGAATAAGTGAACTGGGCATCATCAGTCATTTCCAATCAGAGGGAGGTGAGAAGTCCAGCGGCAATGGTAATATAAACAAAAAAGTTGCGAAATATTGATATCCACACGAAGAGCATTCACTTATTGTTCTTACTCATCTTTCGAAAGACGGTTGCACACCAAATCTTCGGCCAGTACTGAACAGAAACAATGGAGGATTTTATGAAGCATCGGTAAACATTGCATACCAGGGGTTTGTCCTGAATAGAATAGTTCTCACTGTTGTCTGTACATTCATGCTGTACCTCCGGTGACTGATAAGCTGGTGCTGTATCTGCAACCAAAGAATTCAATGTCGCGGCTTCTATGGGCGCGCTTACACTCTCCGATTGTGGTGTCAATGGGGATGTAAACGATTTTGAGCCGCTTGATTTGTCCCCATCTGGCCATGCCAGTGTTGCCGCACTGTTGTCTCTTTTCTAGGGGATGGGAGAGAAGATAATGAGTATAGAAATCGAAAGACCCTAAATTTATGACTGATATCATCAATAAAGTATGATCATTCGTAAGGGTATAGATTTTAGTATTATAAATATTAGAAACACCGAGGAAAACAGGAGCACAAGGAATATGACTAGCAAATGGCGGACGATAGTGGAGAATAATACACGACCCCAGGTGAAGATTCAGAGAAAAGGGTGGGTCCACGAGAACACAAACCGTTGAGTACATATGGTTCACTTACTTCTCAAAATCTTGGTGCAATTCTCTTTCCCCAAGACAGCTGTCATTTATTTTTGAGTGAAACACAATAGCTCTAGAAATCCATATTTAATGATTATAAGTGGCGGCTTACTGTCGTCTTAAGCATGTTTTACCAAGATTTTCTGCCAGGATATCATGAATGAATTCACAAAGATTTCGATCCAACATATGAGGATCCACATATTTGACCTCTCTAAAAACATTGTTAAATGGAAATGCAACCTAAAAAAAAGGTTAAAAGCATTTGCATTGAAATATCACGCACTTCAGTGAACAGAAAAGCATGCTCGGAGTTGAGATAGTGTGACTTCAATTTCTAGCTTTACACAATACCACAGACAACAGTGAGAAAATAGAGTTAACTACACATACCCGCAGCTTAAACCAGTTTAGAAGGCCATGCTTTCGACTCTTTTTCTCCTCCTTACTAGAACCATCAGCAGACTCGGGATATACTCCGGTCGGGACAAAAACATCAATGTCTTCGTCATCCAATATCATATCTCTTCTTCTATATGGGAGGTAGGCAAGCTGCACATGTGACAAAAGAAACAATCTAAGAAATTAGAGGGCAAATAGAGTTTGGCGGATAGTATAAAGCTGGCTCCTGATTAATACTAAAAACCAACATTTAAGAAAAGCATGGACAGTTTAGCTTAGAAGGTAAAATGAACACATTATGAAAAGATCATCAGACCTCTTCTTCTCCAAAAGAATGTCGTCGACGTGGACCAGGGCGTTGAGAAAATCTTGATTGAGTTGCTTTCGTTGATACCAAGATTAATTTTGTTAATCTCTGTATACGTGACAGCAAAGCAGCTTTTGCTTCCTCCTCTTGTTCCAGCCTCGATTGCAGCTTGACATGACCATCCTCTAGCTTTCATATTCCATTGAACACAAGAAATACTCAACTAAATCATAAGGAACTACTGGAAAGGTTAAGATTTAGACATTGTTTCGGATGAGACATTGATCATCAAAGAACACATAACAGTAGCATGAAGAAGCCATATATATGAACTAAACTCATCTACGCATGAAGAAACCCATTAAATAAGCTATTGTTGTTTGAACAAATCCACCAGCTACCAAGAAGAACACCTATTGCTACTTTTAAATGACTAGACGAACAAAGAGAAACACCGGAAAACAAATGAATGCTTATTTTGTTTGGATAAAGCATAGCCCACGAATGGACGAATTTCATGAGAAACATATGACAAATTTGAAACGCCAACAGAAACATTTTAGAGATACTGCTCTTATCGATGAAACTATAATAGAATGCACCAAGGCTATTGTCAGAAAATTAATTTCAACTAAGTAACGCATCTTCTAGAAAATCTACTAGGACGAGTCTCTTTTTTTCAACCATACCTTCTGTTTCAGGAGCACAATATCATCTTCTCCGCCATCTTTGAAAGGAGTAACTGTCAACATTCCCTGTTTCAGTTTCTCTAGCTCCTCTTTCAAGCTACGGATCTCATTTTGGTATTTCTTGATTAGAGATTTTTCATCAATAATCTGCATCGCAGGAGCAAATATTGAAACTTAATGGCACTTGTCTAACTTTAAACATGTCCAGTAATGACAACTGGGCTTCTATAAGATTTTATAAATACACAAAGAACCATACTATGTTTTGTGATGCTTGAATCTCTATGCATTTTGCACGATGTGCAAACTTCAATGTGTTATGTGTCTCTTCCGAATTGCTTGATGAAGGCGTTACAGTACAAATAAGCTACAATACAGAGGAAAATTATCAGATCGTCCGAAAAATAAGCAAATGTAATTGGAAAGGGGGCATAATTATGCTAGTAGCATGTCAAATCTTTAAAATTTCAACAGAGGTGCCCCATCAGATTTCAACATGCATTGCACAATAACTAAAGAATCACTCACAGATACACGGCCCTGGCCACTTAAAGAGTATTGAAGAAGCCTAGTCAGTTTAGAATCACGGTATGGTATGTGTGTAGCCTTTCCTTCAGTCAACTTTGCAATAACCTGAAGAACATGGGGTGCATATTAGCAATTTCTTGAAAACAAAGGAAAACTTATATCAAGAATAGAAAGATAAATTATCTAACACGAAGGCAAAGATAAAAATGCAAAGGTAGAGTAAAACCAAAGGGAGCTTCTAGTCTGCCTGTATTGAATCCTTCGAATTCGAAGAGCAGAATATTATGATATCGAATTGAAATGACTAATATCAACAATAAAATTCAAAGCATGTCGTAATTATGTGATGAAAATTTCTCAACCTTACGAACAAAGCAGGCCTGGAATACAAAGTCATCAGTAGTAGCATTTTACAAAGGAATTCAAAGCACACAGTTTTTTTGGGAACATAACAAACAGAATGTGATCTCTTTAAGATGCTCAGATGAAATAATTAGAAGCACATTTAGATGACATAAACGTAATTCGACAGTTTCATACAAATTGTTGCAGATTAGGACTCACAGTTCCAAGCGTTAGGAGGCTCTTATTAATGTAGGAACCCTCTTTTCGCCTGATACCAGTAGTCTCAGCCTTTGAGCTCTCTGAGCCTGCCAGATCGATGAGGTTCTGCATATTTAAGTAGAATAAGACCATATAAGAAACTGATCCTCAACACATTGTAAAGTTACCCAAGTAAACCACAAAAGCAAAAGGAAGAAAACATATTATTCATCGAATTTATAACAGACGAATGATGACAATAAAATTTTAAAATTACAAGATTAAACAAGTTTACCAGATGAGAGAAGTTAACTGCTCCATCACTGCATTCGCCGCAAGGACTACTCTCTATTGTCTATCATTTGGCAAAAACATTAGCACCTAGCGATAAAATTATCAAAGAACTAAAAAAATGCATGCCTAAAATTTGCTATGAAAGTTGATTATCTCCTCCAAGATCAATGGCTAATGCATGACAAAGGAAACCAGTGAACATACAAAATTATTTCTTTACACAAGATGGCTACATCCAGCTCATACTTACATAGTCATTTCTTAAAAGAAGCATTATACATTTGTTCCAAACGTTAAGGTTAGTCAGAAGAAATGAAGCTCGAGACCCGTGAGGAACATTAGGGCTTTAATGTTCATTAATCCTCAGTCATCCATCCTATCTCAGCTTTTAGGTAGACTGGCTTTTATAGCTGAAAGTTTATCATATGTTTTGATTCTTTTATGTATTAGTCGACTGGTTGTTGGCAGGATTTGATATATTAAGCATACAAATGTGCATGAATACCCTTTTATACTGATCAAATGAGGATTTTACAAGCTCCCTTCTGAACTATATTTTTTATCACTGTAGAAACTATCTTTCAGCTTAAACCTCGTTTCAACTGTTATTATATCCAAAAGCCTAAACCTCAGAAAGCAGGTAATGTGGAAGTATGGGACCATGAAACCAGAAACTTGACCAACACGAGTCTTAAGACTACTAAAACCAAACCCTTAGCTTTTTTATCTCAATTATTCTATTGAGCAAACACAATACTTCATAAAATTCATCAGTATGAAGACGCAATGATTGATTCAAATGGGAGGATATTAAAAACTCAAGAAATGGCCAAGGACAGCAGATGGCTGCAACCCCCCAGTCAGTTTCAGTTCAATCATTTTGCCATAGTGAGCAAAGTCCGTTCACAAATGAAAACAGAAGGTTAAAAAAGAAAAGCCAGAAATATTACAATGATATTTGAGTCATTGTGATATCAAATGAGGTGATAACAGAAGTCACTTTTCTACCGAAATTTCCAGGAATATAGGCGATAAGATTTTTTTTCTGGGCTGTCAAATGAAGAAGACATCATACATTTCAAGTTCTTTGTGCTACAAATTTCATGACGATTTCAAGTTGATTCCCAAAAATGTAAGTTTCAACACTTACAAAATAAAGATATTTCAGACTAGAAAATTGTGTGACAAGGTATGTCAAGAATAGAAGAAGATCCACATTATAAAATCCAACATTAATTTAAAGAATTTAACTAGCCTAGTGAATTAACTGCAGATCTACAAGTGATGCTATATCATAAATGATATATGGCAGAAATCTTTTTGTAGAAAAATAAAAACAGTGCCATTGAAACGTTTTGCATGAGACATCTGAATCATCCCCTCTAAACATTACATTATCATAGCGAGATAGATACAATACCAGTGTAAATATTGTATGGCTTCTGCTGCTGAGCAAATTGAAGTTGTTGGATCCAACATGCCTATGTTCTGTCATTAAATAAAAATTCTTCCAACCTCAGCATGCAATGGCATAAATGTAAATTACGATAAGCAATAAATAGAAGTTTAATAATACAACTGTAAACCATAGATCATAAACACAAAAAAGAAGAAAATTCATGGCATTTCAAGTCTAGCAATATATCAAAAACTGCATATGAAATATAGCATATTTCCAATAATCGACTCATACAGTCCAGTCCCTAATAGTGTCAAACAGTTGAATATTGCGCAGAAATAATCATGTTGCCATTCTCAATGTCAAGCCGTTTCTGACCATTATTGCTGAGATATTTAAAATAAAATACATCGAAATGTTTTCTTATGACATCCAGATCATCAGTCTTTTTTTTTCCCAGAGGAAGTCCATACAAATAGATGACCTTGCAAAGTTTAGTTTCTACGATCACAGATGACACTTAGTTCCAAAATTATCCCTTCATAAAAGTTTCTACAGTGAATTTGTCGTCCACATGTAAAAAACAAAAAGGTAGAAGCTCAGATGTGAAGATGTGTAGTTATCCTGGAATTGTCTAATTTAACAACTGGAGAGTGACAATTTACGTGGAATGTACCACGCCATAAACAAAACAAAAACAAAATGTGGTGACCCATTTTGTGGTCTTCAAGTAATTTTATCACAAATCAATCCATTTATATCAAGGTTTAAGAGATTGTACCATTTATAAATTGACCAATAATCACACCAAAACACAGATTTGAAGAAATAATAAAACAAAAGATATAGTTCGGCACATTTACACCATAAGTATAAGATGTAAGGGGATTCCAACATTAAAAAAGAATTCATTGCCTGAAAGATAAAAAAAATTGAATAAATGGAAGACAACTCAAATTAATTGTAGGTCAAGGGATAAATGATAATTGATTATGTAATGGATTAAATTCACACCACAGTCCACCAAAATAAAAAGAAAATCAGATTTGAGGTAACAACGTGATTAGGTTGAAAGCCGGTGGCATTTGACAGCACAATTAAGGTGAGATATAATTACACTGCAAATGATAAACTAACGTTTTCATCTTCAGCAGTAGGCACAAAAATTCAGAAAGTTTATCCATGAGATTCTATCAACAATTTGGGAGACCAATACATGGGCAAGGGGGTGTCACAAATTACCTTCACCAGCAGCTATAAGGGACAAAGCATGTGCTGGGGATAAAACAACTTCTTCTTTGATCCCCTCGACGAATGTCCCCTGTTGAAAAAAGACAAATTAATTAACAATGCACAGATTCATCCGTAATTACGTATAAAAGGGAAAAGGAAATCACTACATAATGTACTTTAGTGACATGTGGAAACTATTAAGTTTAGAGATATGCCACAGCAGAACCCTTTTTTCTCAAACGAGAGAAAAGTACACATCGAAGTTTGTCTAAAAATTCTACAAGCATAGCAAAGGATCCCGGGAGAATGTGTGAATACCTAACATAATTGGATGATGTGAATGAATCTTATTACGGCTAAGGTCCTGAAAAAATATTTAAAAACTGCATGGCAGCCATCATCATCAAAGAGTGAAAGTGAACCAAGGAATCCTTTGGGCTACTCACACACCCAGGAAAACACCACATTTTCTTTTATAGATGGAGAGAGAGACATGAGATAAGTATGAACAGAAAGACAAGGAGAGAGGTGAGAACCTAGATGCCAAGAGTTCTATCTGTAAATGATAGATAGAGAGAAGGGGGGAGAGAGAGAGAGAGAGAGAGCTTAAAAAAAAACTGAAAGGCAGATTGAGAAAAAAGGAGACGAGTATTGGCGATCAGTATACCCCCATTGGCTTGCAAACATAATCCCTGGGTAGGGATAGCATATTTATCCCCCTGCGCGTATGCGCATGCATAAATATCAATACCCCCCGGGTATTAATATTTAGTAAAATGAGAATGACAGAGGGACAGATATATGTAGAAAAATGGATAGAAAGAGAGAGAGAGATTAAGAGTTTGAGAAATAGAAAGGGAGGATATGGGTCTATCAGAATTAGGGGGTGTGCCATCAGGATGTCAAGACTGACAAAAGTGATAACTAGGAAAGATAGAAAGTGGGAGAGTAGTGATATTATAACTACCAGAAAATTTAATAAAAAATCAGTGCTAACGTTTCATAATGTTCTTTTCATCCTAACAGAACTTGCCACAGCAGTGATTTTCTGAGAATTTCCAATCCGTAGCAAAATACCATTCTTCAAACACACTAACGATTCTCATGTTCTACATCCTGAATGACGTTACCTTCAGAAGTATTCCGAGACTTTATTTATCTTCCACAAAATAGCTCATAACACTGCCGAAAACTCATATTCAATGAATCATTTTCTAGATCTCCAAGGTTCAAAAACATAAGCTGGCGAGTAGGTTTATGGGGTACCTCAAAACAGGGCAATACAAAAGCCACTGTTTGTTATCCATGAACATCTTCAACTTTAAGCACAAGACATTCAACAAACGAGAAGGTCCACTATTTCCGTCTATCAATATAACAACTGGTTTTCATGTCGATTGGGCTTACTCAATAACACAGGAAAACTTTCATCAACTGGCCAACAGTAGATTCTAAGTTCAATAAGAATGAACGTCATCCACAATTTTAAGAAAAACTTAGCAGCGACTCGTTCCCAAACTTGTAAAACTTGAGTCGAAGAAAACTTGTAGTCAATGAATTGAAAGTAATAGCACAGCCAACCAAAATTTGCCAAAGGATAAATTTACAGTAAGTTAGTGTATTTTCATTGCGTCAGAAATCATAAGGATTCGCCCCCCAGAAACAAAACTCTTCTTCTCACCGACTTGATAATGCACATGTAGTTGAATTAGTTATGTCATGCTCACACAAAAGATGACCTAGGTTGGGAACAGATTCCCCCATATAGATTGCTGATAATCTATTACAAGCAATGGACAACTAATGTGAAATATTGAACCTGTCAATCATGAAAAACAAAAGAATGATTCAGTATAACAAGACATCATTGTTGGATTCTGAAGAATGATTCAGCAAACAGAAGAACCTGAAGGTCTTCTCTAATTCTCAAATTCTGTCCTGCTGGATTTAACAAGTCATTCACGACCTGAAAAAAAGAAGATTAAGAGTAAGTGATGCAACATTAGAAAATTTAATAAGGACGTCACTAGTTAATTGTGATAAAACAGGGACACCACAGTAACATCAGCAAACACTTTCAGTATTTGTTTTCAATACCTACCATTTCACTGTTTCGAAAGTCAGCCTCCAAAGCACCTAGGCATGTCTATTCACCAGTTACACAGAGAATTCAGCTTCAAAAAGTCATTTTAATTATAAAATCGAAAATAACGATTACTTATCGTACTTCAGAGAGATAGATGTGCTCAGAAAAATGTTATGCGCACACCAAACATGGCATTAAATCTATAATAATATTAAATGTACGTGAGAAAGACGAGAGTGGTGAATATACCATGAGAAAATAACACAATGAACACACAAAGCAGACATTCCCCGTTAGGATGTGAACTCTCGGTACTATAAATGCAATGATACATGCGAAAGAGGCGTGTGTTCTGGCATCTTCAAACTCATAATTGGTCATAAAGCAATTAATTGCTCGATTACCTGAATTACTGACTTGTAAGAAGGTTAACAACCTGAGGAAGAAGAAAAAATGAGAAGCTGGGAGTGTGGGAAGCTTGACCTAAGATAATTGAAAAGGAAGAGATGTTGATGAGATTGACTGATGTGTGGGAAGCTTCACCAACATATGCAAAAAAACAGAGTCAAAATGGGAGTACAGAATGGTCTCAAGAATGCAATGGTTCTACATCTTAATGACACCATTTTGCTCATGGTTGGACAAGAATTCTATAGATATCTACTCCGAAACACGATTAGCCACAGGAAACCTATTGTAACAGTAGAATTCCATTTAAACTATAGCAGTAAATTAAGGACGAATGGCAAGAACCTCAGATCGTTTACGCATAAGTTATACCTAAGTAAACTGAGAGAAGCTATCAACGAGACATGGTAATAAAATTTCTCAGAGAAAAGCAAGTAAGTAGTAACATCTAGTAGAAGACCCAGAGTTCACAAGCTAGGTAGATAAAGTAAAAGATTAAGTAAAGATAGCAAAAGACATTAAACCACTGAAACAGGGACCAAAGAACAGCACAGAAAAATGGACAGCAGCAAAAACACCACATAAAAATGTCAATACAGTCAACAGATATGAGGTGGAATAAAGTGAAAACCTCATTGTATATTTCCAGATATGAAACACGAAGCAAAAATTCGCGACTTGGAGTCTGCACAGTAAATACCGTAGTTAGAAAATTAATTTAAGATCATTTCAACTCAATGGGAAAAAAAAGAACGATTCTAAAAGCAGAAACCATGGATACTACCTCTTGTATGATGCTGAACGCATCTTTCACAGCCAAAGGTATAATTCCAGGCGACCTTTGATCTCCCTGCAGGTCATGGACACCAAAGAACAATATCTAGCATGTTAGAAGTCATTGAAATAGAAAAATTTCCACCCATGAAATGGACATGCATTTTGTCAATATCATTTCCGCAAGTTGATCAGTTGGCTGCTGAACGAACAATAAAACAATCACCAAATCAATCTCCCTCATAAATTACTAAAAGCAGAGGCCAAAGAACCAACCCTCCTAGCTGAGAGGAGTGGATCAAAACTATGGCATCCTCTTTAAAAAGAGTCCCCCGTCCTTTGACAATCAGAATGTTTGTCATCGAGCCGTGTGAATTGCCACATTGGTCAACTCCTCCCAAAGAAATACAGATCAGATTCAACATTCCAACTGAGGCTAAAAACCTTCGCAATCAGTTTGCCATCTAATCCATGAAACCAAATATGCTAGCCATTGGGGTGGAACAAACTATAGCATATTCATCTATCACCTTCCCCCAGGATGACCAAAGTTAGACTGTTTAAACACGTTTTGTGATGCAAGGCAAACTCTTGAAGTTTCCATGGTGATACCTTGGGGGGGTCTTCTTCTCTGTCTTTGAAAGTGGATACCTCCAAAACGTCAAATATCTATTAGCCATGTTTTTTATGTTCGGAGGTGGAAAATCTGTGGCAAGTTGGGAACATCTGTTTAAATTATTGGCAGTAAGATTTCGGCAGAAGTCCCTATCAAGATTGGAGTATCAGTCGATGTCTGACATTATAGAGAGTACTGATACTACATCAATGGAGGGCAGATAATAATATGATCTAGAAAAGAGGGCTTCAAGCAAAAGCATATAACAAGAAACATTCAAAGAGGACAGGGTATGTTTCATTAATTAGCTACTCGTGCCCAAATTACTCATAATCCCAGCAAAAGAAATATGTGAGAGGTACTGAATGAATAATAAACGATGTGGCTTGATTTGCATTCTGCATATGATTTATTTAAATATGGTGGTAATCAAGCTAGACTTTGGATTTGGACATTTTGAAACAAACCTATTGACTTTTGATGCAGCACACACCTAACCAAATATCATAAAAAACGACATGAAATAAATGAAAACAAGCGTAAACATTGCAAATCATTTCTATTGTTTTAAATGATAGATAATTAAGAAGGTAAAAAGGGTAACAAGCGGAAGATAAAAGAAACTTACATGCATTGTATGAGTCTTTCCGCTGCTTGTAACCCCATATGCAAAGATTGTTCCTAAAAAGGAAAATAATTTCAAAACACCAGAAATATGACAAGCATAAAAAAAACACGATCTAAAAATCAAAATAATAAATTATTTCATGATGGAAAACATTCACCAACATTTTCCAGTTAGGAAGAGCTAACATCAGGCAGGATTATATAGTTGGCATGGACTAGAAATGTCATATTGAGCTGACATAATCCGAATATAAAGAATGTTTTGTATGAAGTATATATATATATATATGGATTTTGATAAAAATTAACTGGTTCAGCAGATTAACAGGTTTTAGGGGAAAGTGGCTCTTCATTTGTAGTAATTTTACAGGAATAAAAGCAAGCCACAAGCTAATCTCCACAAGTTTTGTCAAGATACATGTCCACAACGTTTTGAAAAAGATATCAAAGGTAGAAAAAAGGGCAGTTTGACATCTTTCAACAATTTTAAAAGTATTCAAAAGGCAAATAAAAAACATGCTGAGGGCATAATCTGATTTTATGTTTATTAAGTAATAGTACTCCGACTAGCTAATTTCAAAAACATACTACTCTAAACTGCTGATGAAAAAAACGATGTATCAAATAAAATTACAAGTTGATTACCATTAACACCCTCCATAGCACTACTAACAACATGTTGAGCAGCAACATCATACACATGTCGTGTTGTAGTTGTAGGCCCAAAAACACGATCTGAAAATCCAAAAAACAACAAATAACAAATACTGATTTAATAGAATTGACGAATGAACAAAGTACAAAACCAAACAAGCAATAAGGAAAAAAAACTTGACGAATTGCTTGAATAGTAAGTATAATTTCACTTATTCAAGTGAAGTTGATTTCACTAATAGAGCGATAACGTTAGGCAGAAAGTAGCATGATGCAAGTCCTTCCCAAAACACGAATCCTTGTATTATGGATAAAATTATATCATTTGGGATGTACCAAATTTGGGAACTATGAGGATTAGCGAAATTTCACATCTAGCGACACTTTTATATATAAATATGACTCTGTGAAATTCACGACCCAGAAAGAGTAACGAGCCGGTATCCTACAAAATTATGACTAGTAACGCCTATAAGAAATGCGGAAATAGGTCTTCTACACATTACATCCAAAGTACCAGTAACACCGATGTATGATCATTAGCTGCACTCATCTGAAAAACTTATGAGAGCTCATTGAGGGCCCATTTACAAACATTCAAATTATTCTGCTCCGAATTCCAGATGACGGATGTTGATAAATAATAAGCAAAGAGAACATGTCTTTTTGTTCTAAAAAAGAATTTTCTGCCCAATTCTTCCAATGGACCAACAACTCCATTGTATGATATTTGGCTCTGGTCCAAAAAATATAGGGGAGCCTGTGGGAAAGAACGTATATTTAGGAGTTCAGCTCTTGGTTTCCAAATTTTGGCTCTGGTCAGTTCTCACTTTTTCCAATAGTTTCCTTGTTTCGCGGCCCTTTGTACTTGTAAACTAGCAGTCATCTATGATATGAATAATAAACAGAGATTTTTTTCCACTCTGTCCTCCTAAGATTTGCGTCACTGTATAGTTTTTGACATGGTCTCAGAGCCTGGTTTGTAGTTGCGAGCTTCCAAAAAATCTATGGTTTGTTTCCCACCTTCTGCCGCAGCCTAGGTATGCTCAAATTAGTACTCAGATTAATCCTAGGCTGCTTTGTTCTCACAACCAGGAGGATCTTGTCATTTTGGGCGCTCAACCACAGGGGATAAGAACTGACAACGAAATCAAAGACAGCGACAAGTACTGCCATATGAATGTCTACCAGCTACTTTTTTCTCAACAAGGTTACACGTGCCATATACTGTAACCATAGATAAAAAGAAGCCTCGTTTTTCTCCAATCATGAGACATTTGAACATCATTCGTTCACCCAAGACCTAGCTTACAGTAGGAAATTTCAGCACCTGACTTCACTAGGTAGATGTTTTTGTCATTTTTACAAAGGGGATGAGTTCAAACAAATCATCATTCCCCAGACAAATTCCGAAGCTCCTCCTTCCTCTCCCAAAAAAATGTCAAACTTACTTCCAATTCACTGCAGGCATCACCATGGGAACTTGATAATCACAAATGAAACATACCCAGGACAACATTAGTGACTGCTATTTGCCGAACAATTTGTGTGGATGTAGCACAACTGGGCCAACTTACATAACTTCAAGAAAGGATGATTATGTAAAGAGGTCATGTCATCAGTGGTATCTAGAAGAACTCATATAACTCAAGTTTGAATATAAGCTGAAAGAAAAAGAAAAAAAAAGGAAAACTAGAGTTGTGCGATCCACAAAACCCATGCTGAAGTACATTTAAACGAAACTCAATGCACTAATCTTACTAAATCTGCAATTTCATGTCCTAATTTATGTTATTATTTGGTAATAAATCAGCAAAAATCTCCAGAGGAGGATATTAAAGTATCTTCGTCAAGATCATCTTTCACAGCAGCAAAGGCAATCGTACGCAGCATGTGAGTTCTTGTCATTATAGTCAATTCCAATATTCACGCTGGCTCTGACATCAGCATCAAATAGGATTACATGATCAATAAGCTACAGCGTTTTCTGTATGAATATCCGCCTTATTCTAATGGACAAATGGCGAATCACAATGTGTCTGGAAACTTTCCGTTAAAAACCGGTAGTATTCGCACAGTCGTGTATCCATAAAACCTCATGGTATACGAACATGAGTATGAAAGCATTAAAAGTGGTACAACATACCGTACGCATACGCCACCGAAGGGTTATGCTCATTCCTCACGATTGTATCGCCATCCGCATACCAAGCGATCTCGTCTCCGTGCCTAATCTCTCTGGGGCTGCCAGCACCAAATCATTAGGCCCCATTCACTCCCAACTATGAAAAATAATAACAACGAGAATGTCACTTGGAGGAACCTCAGCGGACGGAACCGGACTGTAACAGTAATGTTCTCCATGGGCCTCTCGGCGTCCATGGCCGCATTGTCCGGGACGAAGCGCTGAGGCCTACTCCACGCTGAGGAGGACGCCGGGGAGCTCTGGCAGTCGGTCGCCACAGCATCTGGCGCCTGCCTTGAGGAGGACGTAGTGGTTGAGGACGGCGAGCTAGCCGCCGTCTTCGCCAACCCCGAGCCAGACGACTTCTTCTGCCTCGGCGTCTGCCTCGGCGTCTGCCTCGATTCCATGAGGCCGAGGGCCCTGGATCAGGGAAGCGCGGAGAGGAACCACACTACCGAAGATGCTCCTCCATCCTCGACCTGCCCAATCGGAGGTGGATATAGAGCATCTGGAGCAGCATTCCTCCTGAAACGCGCAGATAGAGATAGAGAGGGAGAGAAAGAGGGAGAGAAAGAGGGAGAGAGAGAGGAAGAGAGAGAGAGAGAGAGAGAGTGGAAGGGGGGGGGGGAAGTGGCGGGTGGGGACGGGAGGAAGTGGAAAGGGTGGGAGGAAAAAGGCGTTGAACAGAGCGAGATTTCAGAGGGGCCGTTTGTTTACTATGTTTAAACTCGGAATTGCCCTCGCCTTTATTATTTTCTTGCCTTTCAAAAGACTCCCTTCCCTTTCGGAAGAGAGAGAAAGTGGGAGAACCGCGTCCGACGGAAACGATGTCTCTCTATCTCATACCCTCTCTCTTCCTTTCTCTCTCTGTGCCTCGACCTTTCTCTCTCCCTCTATCTCCGCCCGTCCGAAGGAAACACCTCTCTCTCTCTCTCTCTCTCTCTCTCTCTCGCTCGCTCTCTCTCCCCCTCTCCGCTTTTCGTCCGAAGGAAGACCTTTGTACAAATTATATTTTCACAAGGTAAGACCTCAATTATTCTTGACGCTTAGGTCTCTTTTGCGAAAAAATAGATTAATAAATAAAATTATACCAATAAAGTCTATAATTAGACCAATGGAAAGCAAAACGGACAATTTTCGGGTTTTATTTTCTAAATAATAAATCAATCATCGTTTTACTAGTAAAAGTGCATTTGAAGTGAGAGTAGAATGATAATAACGGTCTTCTACAAGTTTTAATCTCTAACAAAAACCATTTATTTTTCAGGTTTTTAAAATAATACTTTTAATATTTTCAGCATAGGATTAATCGATTTCAACGTTTTATTATATCACGATTTTTAGTGATATTTATCTATTTTAAGAAGGATCCGGGAATTTTTCCTAATTTATACATGTATTGATCAATATTAACATTTTCTATTATTTCTTATAATCAGAAGTTCCGATTTGGAGGGAACTATCTATTTCATTGCTATTTTGAGAAAAAACTATAAGCAAGGGAAGCACAACGTGTCACATGCCACGAACATTTGTCGTGAAGGCTGGCGCCGGTCGTCCTATCGCAGCCAATCGTTTCCCTCGACGCGTCCGATCCAGCTGTCTCTCTCTGGCGAGATCGAGCCGCATTGGAAGGGAAGAGTCGTTCCCCGCAATCTGTGCCGTCAAATTTCCTCGAGAAAAATCCTAATATTCTAATAAACACGTGATTAAATTATTCTCCTCCCTCCCCGAAATCGCTTTTTTTTAGCGCTCTCGCTCTCTCTCTCTCCACGGCGTTCATAGTGAGAGAAACGTTCACATGGGAGGCTATCTCTCTCAACTCTCTCTCTCTCTCTCTCTCTCTCTCTCTCTCTCTCTCTCTCTCACCGAACTTTCCCAGATGTCTTCAAGGTGATAAATGCCGTATCCGTATGAGAGAGAATGTTCCACTCAGTTCTTTCTCTCTCTCTCAGATGCCTTCGAATCACCTCCGAAGGAGAAGAAAATCCCGAAAAGGTCTCTCTCTCTCTCTCTCTCTCTCTCTCCCTCACTCTCTCTCTCTCTAAACATATATATAGCAATCGGCTTAGAAATCAAAAATTGAGTACTCCTATAGAGAGAAAGCGAGAGCCCTCAGAGGGGCCCTATTTCACTCTCTTTAAATACTCGTGACGAGGAACACGCCAAGGGAACGCAGGCAGATGTGGGCCCCTGAGACGTGGGGTGAAGAGCGGCCCACAACGGCTCCCCTCTTCATTAAATTGGGACGTTCACCGGACCCCACAAAAAATGGCGCGCGCATCAGCGTACGTAAGTCAAACTCATCATTTCGTATCGACGAAAAAAGAACCAACCTTTAAATGCCGGCATGGCCGGACCGCCGCGCCCCTTAGCCGGTTCAGTCCAGGCCTGACCACGAGACAACGCCGAGCCCCAGACTATTGGGTGCGAACCAGATCAAGTCAATGCCCGTATCACCTGTCCAACTACCGGAGAGGTGATATAGAGAGAGATAGGGGGAGAGAGAGAGAGAGAGAGAGAGAGTGGATGGTGCCTGTGCATTGCTCATGTCGGGTCCTTCAGCCGGAATCCACATACTCTTAAATGCTCATTGTGGATTGTGGGACCCGGGGCAATCCACGTGTCCCACGAAACGGAATCTGCTGAGTTGGGTCGTTCGACCGTGCTTTCGGGTAACCGCGTCCTAACGGCTTGGACGTTTCAATCGAGCGCTACGTGTCAACGTCGGCTCGTGTCCTTCCCCTCACGCTGCGGCCCCGCGTTTGGACGGCTGCCCCGCGTGCGAGGGCTACACTCGGTCTAAAGCGTGGGCCGGGCTAGCGTTTGGCAGCGCTGCGTCAACATCAGATTCTCAGTATCACGCTTCTACAGAAAAATCGATATCACGAACACCGAAAGTGAAGAGTGATAACGGGCCGGAACCGCACTATCCCGGACATCCACTCCGAGGCCCGAACCGGCCCATCTTAGAGAGAGAAAGAGAGCCACAAACAACTTCTGTGTCGGATTTTAGGCTTAGCCCCTACGGTTGAGGCTCAAGTAAAGCTCATGGTATTAGATATTGCCTTATGAGCATGACGTGTACGGTTATGAGAGTATGTTGGGCCCTGGCGTGCTCTTATTGGGTAATATTTGAACAAGGCCCGGCGCTAATTGGGCCAAGCATTGTAGTGTTGAAAAAGTGTGGGCCTACGTCAAAAAAAGAGCATATGTCGACACACACGGAAGAACGTACGCCATTCGATAAAGCTGCTGAAGCCTATCGGAATGACGTGTGGAGGGTGTGTATCTCGAATGCACACGGTCCGTGTCGGTCGATACGGAGTATGTGGAGAGAGAAAGGGCTGAGGTGGAGCGGGGGCAACGTCACATCATGAGGTGTCTGATCAGACGAAGGCACGTGGAACGAGTGGAACGACTCCTCCTGCTGCCCGTCCCGTCTCCATCGATCCACGTGGACTCTACTGCTCAGTTCGTCTGGGTTTGCTGCACAGGTGCCCCTCCCTCTACGGCAACACCATGACGTGTATAATAGAGAGAGAGAGAGAGAGAGAGAGAGAGAGGTCACGATCGAACACTAAACTTTGCTCGAACGCATCTTTTCATGCTGACCATTGACGACTGGTAAGATAGAGGAGGAGAGTCGCATCAAATAGTTTGCTTCCTTAAGTTCTGCCATTTTCAAGCTCAGCCTCGAGTAGAAGAGGCCAGAGAGAGAGAGAGATGAAATCAAAATCAAACAGTGGGCCCGGTCAAGATGCCATTTCCACCCCAACCTTTGAACAGTATACGAGAAGAGATACGGTCAAATCGTTCATTTCCACGGTATCTCCAGTTTCTTGTTTACCGACAATGAGAGAGAGAGAGAGAGAGAGATGGAGACAGGTAGAGAGAGAGAGAGAGAGAGAGAGGGGTCAGCGTCAAATTGTTCACTTCTTCAACTTCATCGTCGTCATTGTCAACGATCCACTTTGTTAAGCTCCGGAATCTCACATAAATCCTAGAGAGAGAGAGAGAGAGAGATAGCGTGAAATCGTAACTTCTTCCGTGGCCATTGATGAGAGCGAGAGAGACAGAGAGGGGAGAGGAGAGGGGTCAGAATCAAATTGTTCATTTCTTCAACCTACGAGTCGTCATCACACAGCGAACCGCTGTCCGACGCCAACGACGGCTACATCGGAAGGAAGTTCTTGCAAACAATTGGGAGTTCTTCGCACGGTGATGTTTGCTTCCTCTCCTTTTCCAAGCGCCCCTTGAGAACGGGGGGAGAGAGACAGATAGAGAGAGAAATGGACAGAGAGACACAAATAGAGAGAGAAAGATAAGTAGACAGATAGACGGATGGAGAGATGATAAATAGGCGGAGAGAGATAAATTGACGGAAAGTGATGCACGGAGAATGACTATTAGACAGCAATAGATAAGACACAGGGAGAAAAAGATGAAGAGAGAGGAGATTGATAGACAGAGAAAAGAAGAGTAAAGAGAGAGGGAGACTGATAGAGAGATAAAGACGAGTAGCATGAAGGAAAGTTACATTAAACTAGGCTCTCCTTTAAATAAATCTGACTTGGATGTTTTCTGCCTATACCTCCATGTCGTGTTGGCTTAATTTTTGATCGCAGAGAGAGTGTGTGTGTGAGAGAGAGAGAGAGAAAGAGAGAGAATGGATGGAGAGGGTTATAATAAAAGAGAATGAATGTCTCTCGCGGCATGGTGGATCGCACAACTACTAACTCCACATCTTCTGCTTCTAGCCTACCCTTCAGCTCCACGCCTCACCGAAGATTCCCTCCGTCTCCGCCATCTCAATGAACAAGAGGATTCAACATTTAAGTCAACCATTCTCATAAAACAATTGGCCGGCTAAATGGATCGAAGTTATCCAGTTCTTCATCGCAGGGCTTTTAATGATCTTCATTTATTGTGCGATGTGTGGCTCATCAATCTCTCTGCGAGTTCGTTTTGTCACAAATCTGGCGATCATCATCGTCAACGATTGCGACCTGTTTATCCGAGGATAGATTTTCCGGTCCCAAGGGAAATCAGTACTGAAAAGTTGTGATAATCAGATATTTTTTTCTTCTTCTAAATACCCGGTTCATATGGTTTCTGAGGATGCCAGATCTTAAAGAAAAGAGCCAACTCGATGCTTAGATGCAGATATTTCTGGAACTGATGTGTGGAGATATCTGCCTGAAGATTCGGTGGCATGAACGGGTGCTTCCGATTGTTTGCGGGCGACGAGATGTCTCGGATTTTCTCAGGGAAGATGGAATTAAACGGAGAGATTCAGCGAGGCAAGACGGGAAGAACAGAAGATAAATTTAGATTATGATACCTTTTAAAGTGATTTATTATCGGGCGTTCGCCTGAGCAACGGGTTCAACAAACGATGCCGCAATTGCTTGCAGAAAACCAGAGCTCACCAGATTTCGCAGAAAAAAATGGAATTGAGGGAAGAGAGATTTGGAACAGAAACTAGAAAGAGCAAGAGAGCCTTCGAATGATGTGATCTGAAGAGATTGTTTACAGTCGCAAGTCCAGACTCAACTGATCCTGCACTCCGGTCGCCGATCCGTACACGAGCCGACCCGCCGGCGCCAGCGCTGCGGAAGAGGCTCCCATCATCCCTCCGCCACCGCCACCGCCTTGCACCGCCGGAAGCCCCCACAGAAACGGCAAAGGGCTGCCGTCGATTGTCCGGGGAAGAGGCCCGCCGCCGCCGTGGAAGTGGGTTCCCGGGATTCCGCCGTGGGCGATGCCGTTCCAAGGCGCGTAAGCCCGGAGGCGGTAGGCGGCGCCGCCAGCGCCGGGGTGGTGTGCCCTCCTGGTGATCTGGCGCTCGCGCTTGTGGGCGTTCTGGTGGCCGCCCAGAGCCTGCGAGGTGGGGAAATTCCTGCGGCAATAGTGGCACTCGAACTTCCGGCGACCTTCTCCTCCTCCTCCTCCTCCTCCTCCTCCTCCTCCTCCTCCTCCTCCGGCGACGCCGCCGCCGTTGGGGAACTCGATGCCGAACAACCGGACGGCGCCGCCGGAGGGGATTCTGGGGATCTCTTTCACCGCAGCCGGCACCGGCCGGATGAAGGGCAGCTGAGAGAAGGTGTCGACGGCCATGAAGTCACGGCTCTCCCTATTGTTCATCTCTCCGGCATAAGTTTCTCTCTCCATCTCTCTCTCTTGTTTCTCTTCTGATATTGGTGTATGTAAAGGACTGAATATACTGGTCCTGGTCCTGGTAGGGGCCGCTGGGGAAGGGGGTCTCGTGGGTTCTCAAGGTACGACCGACACACCGCTACTAAAGGTTATCACCCAACCCCCCGGTCTCTATATCTATCTCTGTATCTCTCTCGCGATCTCGTCATTTCTAATTTTGGTGTGCTACCTTGCTTTCATCCATCTACAACCATCAGGGAAGACGGAAGACAGTGGTCGGTCGAGCCTCACTCCGCTGAAAGGTCTTCTCTCTCGCTCTCTCTCTCTCTCTATCTCTCACCCCTCTTCTGGATCTTCATATCTAGTCATCATCCGTACGTAACATCAATCAAGACCGGAGGTTTGAGAGCAACCTCTGGGCCTCCCTCTCTCTCCCCTTCATTTTCTTCCCTCGCTCGCACGTCATATCTAGCTTCCGCACATCTGTCCGTATCTAGTCCTCACACATGTGTCAACGTCAACTAAGTGGAGCTTATCTAACTTCTCGGGTGAATATCTCCCTCTCTCTCCTCTTTTGTATAACCAAGGTTCATTTGTTCAGGCATATTTTTCATCCTAAAATAACCGACCACGACTTCGATGGTGGGTCTCTGTCATTCTCTCTCTCTCTCTCTCTCTCTCTCTCCCCATATGTCGTGTACCTTGGACGCATCACTCCAGATCTAGTTTACACCTGTTCATATACAGTGGATGTTCGAGACCAGCTTCGTTTGTCTCTCTCTCTGTCTCTCTCTCCACATGTATTAATCTATCAACATGATCTGTTGGGTCTTTAATGACTCTCGGTCTGTTTATTTCTTTTTGCTGAGACGTGTAAGTGGTCCAGGGACGCCTGCCTCAGAGATAAACATACGATTCTTGCCTGGGAGATACATATATAGAGAGAGAGAACGAGAGAGAGAGAGAGAGAGATACTCCACATGGCGAGAATGGATTCCCCTTCGATGAGATCGTCGGAGAGGTATACAGGAGGGTAATTATTCCAACTCAACATTTCCCGTATGCGATCGGATGAAACCGACGCGCCAATAGATAGCAGCCGGTGAAGATGGGCCCGTTTCCTTGCTTCGGAGAAGATGGAATCTTGTCTCTCCTCCCTCTCTATGCATATGTATTCACATGCATCTCTATCTGTGTTTACGTGTGGCATCTTATTCAGAGTCTTTGAGTAAATGATAATAAATTTTGCGTACTTTGCACGCCTTTTTATGGAAGAGGACTCTCTCTCTCTCTCTCTCTCCCTCTCTCTCTCTCTCCCTCCCTCCCTCCCTCCCTCCCTCCCTCCCTCTCTTCCTCTCTCTCAATCTATCATCTCTCAAGGACGCGTTGCTTATCTTCCACTTTCTTATCTTCAGCTGTCTTATCTTCCACCCGGCAACAAATCTGTGGATGGGTGGGAAACTGTGCGTTGTACCCTTCCGGGTCATTGGGTATAATTACGGTTTCCATAACTCTCGGAATCTCTGTGGGCCTCTGCATGGGATTCGACTGACACAGTTATAAGTATCAAGAGAGAGAGAGAGAGAACCCCACCAAGAACACAGAAGGACGATAATAGCCTGACCTCCTGTCCATGCATAAATGGAACTGCAGGCCGTCCGTTTATGCGTGGACCTGTTTTTGTAATCATTCTCTCAAAACTTGGTCGACTTCCCCCTCTCCCCACCCCAAGCATGGACTGCGGTCCTCCCCTTCCTCTCTGCATCTCTCTCTCTCTCTCTCCCTCTCTCTCTCTCTCTCGTTACCTAGAGAAGGGAAGGGCAAACCAGTGTGCAGCTGACACCTCCTCGAATGGGGTGCTTCATCACCACCTCTCTCCAACCCATCAAACGCAAACCCTATGAAGCTTCACAAGCGTCCAACGCCAACCCTTAACGAGTCTTGTCCCTTTCCAAGATGACCGTCTATCTCAATCTTCATCGTCAGCTCTTCATTTTCTGTCTCTTCACCAACCCACCTCTTTCTTCTCCCTTAACTCGCGAGGTCTCAACTCTCCATCTTCTAGGTAACCCCTTCATTTGCGGAACCCCTTGCTGCATCTTCCCACTCTACGAGACTGTCCCCATATATTCCCACCTCTATTTCTAAGACTACACCAGTTTACAAACCACCTCATATACTCAACATAGATGGAAGGAATATGATGATGAAACAAGAGACCTCATTTTAAAAGAAAATCAAGCGAAAAGGGTTTTTCCTGTAAATGCTTGATATGCACCGATCATAGGGGATCGGATGTAAATGGTTTCAGACGTGGGGATCTAAAAGTCATAATCAATTCAATCTTATGTACTTCATTTAAACCTCATATACAATAACTCTCTGACCACATGTTCCTTCAATTGGTGATAAAATGAGCAAAATAAGTAACTTACCCGATATCTCTATTTGTTAGAAAATACAACGACTTATAGTTCTTCAGTAATTTGGCTCCAATTAAACTTATTGAACTAAAACGAAGAAGAAGAAGAAGAAGGGGAGAGGGGGAGAGAGAGAGAGCTATTTTACATCATAATTAATCAATAAAATTATCTTGCTTGCTCAATGTAGCTCCTCATTGACTAATATGATACACTTTTGCTAAGTCGAGAATGAAGTTAGTAACATTTTGGTCCATTGGGAGTTCAATAACAGTTATCTAGCCCCCTTGAAGTGATCCATACATCCCCAAGTCTTTCTAACTATAAGGGTAGATGACATAGGTAATGACGATTAATGTGTACGCCAAAATCTTTAGTCATCCTTCACCAGTGAGAATATTCTTCAATGAAATCAAGGGTTTTTTCATGGTCAAAATGTCTTAAGAAGGCCATTATCTTGTTTTTTCATGGCCCACTTGCATTATACGAAAGATAAATGTTTCCAACTGCATCTGGTATGTTTTTCAAATGTTTGACTTTATTGCAAATAGCAAGGTTATACAATTGAATGAACTTCATTCATTTAGCTGCCCAAATATCAAAATTTCAAGATCTTATAATCAGATGATAAGTCTAATAACTTAATCACATGGTAGCACCACCATCATGATATAGTTCCTCCATGAAATGATATAATACAGTCCCTATAATAGGTAGAATGGTTTTCTACTATTATACCCAATTTCTCATTAAATAAAACAAGAGGTCACTTGTCTGGTATAAAATGAAATTATAACATAACATAATATAATATATATTTTATAAAATTATTTAGTTTATTCCTAAAAGTAGTGTAAGCTTGCCAAAGGTGTAAATTTGCACCCAAAATTCACCAAGCTTTCTCTAACATTTATCCAGCCTTGGTACGTTAATGCTAATGCTGTTTAATGTCACTTTTGAAATGAGGTCAATGCAATGCTGAATCTCAGCCATTGTTGGAAGTTTCAGCAGATGTGCACATCGACTCTCATTGGGAAAAGTTACATGCAGATAATCTTTTTGAAAGAACAATAGGATGGCATACTACAATGCCATTATCCTTCTCTCTACTTCAAATTTGGTCATAAAAGAGAATTTATTTTCCTCCGAAAAATAGAGATTCGGAAATTCTCTCTACTATATGTCTAATTCATATATCGTTCAAAAAAAGTCCCCACTTGTCGTCTTGGGTATGCATCCTATCTTGTTTCTATGGTCTTCCCAAATGTAGACAACTTTTATTCATGGGTGACATACAATTATTATTTTCTCCTATTTCAAACTTGATTAGGTAATGTTTGTTGACCTAGATATCATTGCCCTCTTGTGAACCACGTTAATGGGTACATTAGCTCATAAGGGACAGCGTTATTTTGTCTTATGAAGTTTATTTCCTCTCTCTCATTCGATGATTGTGAGGTTGTTGGCCCCTTCTCTTGTTGCAACTCGAGAAGCTTCAGCCAAATCGAGGATACTCGGAGAAGATGATGGTTACCTCTCCTTAGTGAGTATTTGATGCATCTTGATTGTCAAAAGATCCATAAGAGGAAACAGAGTTCATGGAGACGCCCATGAGACCAGTGTATATCAGCTTAAACTCAACTATGACAATAGCTTGAAGGAAACTGCTCACCCAGACTCCGGAACAATACCCATCCTCTCATTTTTCTCTGTGTGATTCCATTATTGCTTTATATTCTAATTGTGTAGGCATTATATCAGAATCTAGTATTCGGATTGAATTTTTTTTCTTCTATTATCTGAATCTGGTATTCAATCTCCCTCCTTGGAAAGAAAGTTCGGATTGTTTTTATCTTTTTTTCGAGGAGGCCAAGGATGAATGACGAAGGGAGATGGAGTGGCTTCTCCTGCAGGTGTGCCCTAAGAAGGCCCAGAAGGTGAGTGGGACGTAGCTGGCATCAGAGCTTCACAGCTTCAGTGAGGCCTCTGGGTTCCTTCAATCCTCTCTGACTGGGTTTCCTCCCGCACTGTCTGGTCTCTAGCATGAAAGGGAAGGCAGGTGGGGCCCATCTCGAGAGGTCAACGTCCGTGGGGGAAATAGTCCAAAGTGGTAAGGGGTGGTGTGGGGTTACCCTAAAATGCTCAAACCGGGCGTGTGAAACAGGAGGGCTCGTCTTCTTCTAGCTCCAGATCTGAAATCCCGGTTGGCCGCATGCCTGGAACCATCCGGCGATTCACGGGAGTTCACCCGTGAATCGCCCATGACTCGTTTTCACCGCTTCCGGATTGTTCCGCTTGCCTGAGTTACGCTGACTATCTTCTTTCCATGGTTGACCCCCAGTTGGTATTGATGCGAGGGTATCTTGTATTTACAGTCCGAGTTACTTTTGACTTTAATACAAGTTTGGTAACGCAAGGAGGCTTGCTGGGTCTTCTTAATCGGACACCGACGAGCCCACTACTCGTCTTAGAATGATTGACTTAGCCGCCCCTGATGCAAATTGGGTGTCATAAAGTCAAACAGAGACTCGGCATGTATTTATTAATCAACGAGAGAACAATTGAAGCGCCTTGGCCCAACGCCTTTTCCTCGGCTCTTGATGGCTTTCCCTCTCATTTCCCCAGCAGGGTTTGCACTACTGAGGGGGTTATCTGTGAGGTTTTTAAAACTCAACGACGAGAGTCTTAAGCTCTATCTATCACTACTTTGCACCCCCGCAGAGATAGAGACGCACACAGGGAGAGAGACAGAGACAGAGTCCAGCGCCAGAAATTAAAAATAATGATTACTCAAAAAATATTGGCTAAATAATTACTCTCATTCAGCTTTAAAGAATTTTCCAACCCTTTTTTTCTAATAACTTTCGAAGAGGGGAAAAGATACCTGAACCTTCTTCATATCATGCAGCGATTCCTGCGCTAAACTTCAGCTTACGAATAAAGAAACTGATGGCGAGTAGTCTCGTTGACTTGACGGCTGTAGGCCTGCGCTAAACATCAGCTTACGAATGAAGAAACTGATGGCACGTAGTCTCATTGACTTGACGGCTGTAGGACTGCGTTAAACATCAGCTTACGAATGAAGAAACTGATGGCAAGTTGTCTCGTTGACTTGATGGCTGTAGGTTGCAAGTGGAACTGCATTATTGGGCTGTACGAAGATGCTCCCTCCTATCTTGGACAGGTCACCATAAGACCCACGACGTGAAACTCGAGTAAAATCGGCGACGCGCTATTTTTCAGAAAAAAATCGGCGCCCCATTTGCTTGCAGATGGGAGAAGATGGCATTTGTGGTATGATTTTCCTGAGATGTACAATAATTCGGCGCCGCCATGGCTTTCTGAGGGGAAAATGATGTTCTTGTCCACCAGCTAGCACCGTTTAAAATTTCGGTTCAATTTTGACTTCGATGTTCTGATCATAAAGATCACCTGGTCTCGCTTGTTCACGGAGAGGGAGCTCCTGATGTCAGAAGGACAGCGTTGACTTATTTTAGCGGAAACCTGAAGACAGCTAAAAGCACGGGAGCGCCATAAATCCATCACCCCGCAGATAACGACGCCTCTTTCCCATTGAATCAGCCCGTCAACGGGGGATCACGTGGTCTCCCGCCCTATTGCGTCCGTTGGAGGAGGTGGGTCTATGAAATCTACGATAAAGATGATAACTTTATTTCAAGACTATGACTTTAATCAAATCATAATCGTCCTACAAATAGGGTCCTTTAGCGGTTGCGGAACAAAAACCCCAGCTGCTCTCCAAGAACCGACATTCCCTCCGCCCAGTTGTCGGTGAGGGCTCCAAGATTCTTGGGCGAGTGCGGGGGACCGCAGTTATCCTCCGCCGCCGTAGTGGACGGCGGTGGGGCCCTCCAATCCTCGAAGCTCCTCAACTGCGGCGGCTCCGCTGGAGGTATAATTCCTTCCTCTTCCTTGAGAGATTTTTTTTCGGATCATTTACTCGGAAGATCCCCCCTCCCCACAATACTATATTAGATGTTAACCTTTCCTCAGAAAGTTGACCTCCCCAAACCTGTTATGTACCCGTGTGTTCTTGGCTTCGGGTTTCTTGGAAAGCTGTCTTCCTCTAATGGAAACATGCAAGAGTGCCCTGCTTCTTCCTTCGGCCGATTCTTTTCTGTTCATCGACGGATAAAACTGCAGGAGTATTTTTATTACTGAAAAAAGGTTTTGACCTTTTTTGGGAAGTCAACTTTCAGTCTGTGGAACTTGTATATTTGGTGCATTGATTCACTAATGGTGATTGGATGTATATTTGTCTTCGTTATGAATATGTCACGATGAACTGTAGAAGGAAAATGATGATTTGTTATATATCTTAAGTAGGAATATATTGCTCTCCATCCATAGTTGACTAGTGGTAGAGTTGACTTTTCTTTGGATTCAATTTCTTCTTCTCACTTCTTAAGCCAACCCATATAACTTATTCTTAGTTAATTAATTATTTCCTCACCAACGAACTCTCCGGTTTTTTGTTCTTTCCTTATTTACTTACGAAGGTGCGCTTTTGTCCATAAACAAATCGCTGATTTATGAGCACTATTGCAGTCCCAAGATGGACGATCTCATGCAACAGCAGTAGCCACCGGCGGCGACAGTCGTGGCGGCGCCACCTCCCTCTCCGACAGGACGGATCCAGCTCTACGGGCAGGAGCAGCAGCAGCCACTCCCGGCGAAAGCCATGGCGCCGCCGCCTCCCTCCCCGGCAGGACGCGTCCAACTCTACGGCCAGGAGCAGCAACACCAACCAGCGGGGACGACCATGACGGCGCCGCCTCCCATTACTCTGGGGCCGGTCCAACTCTATGTTCAAGAGCAGCAGCACCCACCGACGGGGACGACCATGGCGGCGCCGCCTCCCATTCCGACGGGACCGGTCCAACTCTACGGCCAGGAGCAGCAGCGTCTACCGGCGGCGATGGCCATGGCGTCACCGCCTCTCATTAGGGCGGGGCAAATCCAGCTCCACGGCCAGGAACAGCAGCAGCAGCCCTCCTCCTACCAGTTCCTCCACCGCCAGCGTCCACCGGCGGCAACGACCATGTCGGCGCGGCCTCGCTTTCCGGCAAGGCGGATCCGATTCGTCCACCGGCAGCGGCCACCGGGGGAGGAGCCGCCTCCATTACCGGCGGGGGGGGTCCCGCGGCTCCGCTAGATGCGGCAACAGTGGTCACCGCCTCCCTTCCCGGCGGGGCGAGTCCCACAGCTCCGCCAGATGCAGCAGCAGCCGCCACCGCTGCCACCGCCCTCGTCCTACGAGCTCTTCTGCCAGGGGCACCTCCTTCGCCTGCAGCATTGCCTCGACGACTTCTGGGAGCGGCAGCGGCGGGAGGCCGCCGACGTCGTCATCACCGACCTCCCGCTGGCGAGGATCATGAAGATCATTAAGGCCGACGAGGACGTGAATCATGTCGCCTCCGAGGCCCTCGTGGTCTTCGCCCATGCCTGCCGGTTGTTCGTCCTCGAGTTGACTCTCCGCTCCTGGGCCTACAGCCAGGAGATGAATCGCCGGATGCTCCGGATGAATGACGTGGCGGTCGCCATCGCCCGCCACGGGTCCTTTGACTTCCTCCTCGACATCGTCCCGATGCAGCGGCCGACGCTCGCGCCGCCGTCGCTGCCTCTGCCTCCTATTCCGCCGTCGCCGCTGCCTGTCACGCCGCGACCTCTTCCGCTGTCGCCGGCGGCGGTGGCGGCGGTGGCGGCGGTCTCTACCGCCGCCGACCAGGTGTCCGTTGATTTACTTTATCCGGAGGACGTCTTCCTGCAGCAGCCGAATCAGGGCAGTTGGCCAGAATTTCAGCAGCCACATTGAAGACCGGAGAAGGAACATCCCGTCAACGTTCCTCGTGGGTTTCGTTGACCTTATGCGTTGACGTTTTTTAGTTTTTGGAGACTGCATCGCTGCTCTTCAAACTCGACCCCCACCCCTTGTATACGAGTCTGAAGGTGACAGAGACGAGACGACCGACCCGTGCTGCTTGTGTCATGGGGCATAGTGTTCATATAAGTAACATACCCTCGCGCTCCTCCAATCGCCGCCGCATCCTGGTTCAAGAATCGATTCTCGTTATAATCACGATCATTTCAGACCATCTAGTTTTGGTTCGATTTGGAGATAATAAAGAAGACTTAGTCAGATAAGACTTTTAGCTTTTATATAAGTTGACTAGGAGCATGTCCCTTTCTAATCCCGAGTCGGCTTTTGGCGACACAAAGTCAAATGATAGGCTTAAGTTGTCAAACCTGTACCAAAATCGGGTTGACCCTTCAGTGCAAAAGTCAGCTCCTCCCGGAGAGAACGGACCCCCCAATCCTGTGCGTAGATATGTTATGTTGTACAAGACTTGTTCCGTGCGTAGAGATGTACAAGATCGGTACGTCCAAATATGCATCAAATAGAATTCTTCCACGTGGCAGACAGGGCCCCGTATTCTTCAGTACTCGGATCCTCATTATCCCTCCTGTAGGAAGAAGATTTACTCCCTCTCTCTCTCTCTCTCTCTCTCTCTCGCTGTGTATCTGAAGCTCCATCGACCAGGAAAGGGAGCTATGGCTCCATCAGTGCTGCTGCTTCCCACTGCCACAGGGTTTCTCTTCTCGTCTCCCAGGAGCGACAGAAGCGTTCATCCTCTCCTCAGGAACCCCTTCGTGGCCCCTCTGGAGGTTGGGACATCGTTCAATGGTGCCGCCCTGAGAGGATCTGGCTTCTCCAGGAACACGAAGCGGGAATCCCCCGTCCGCTCCTCCCTGGTGGAGGGCCCGGTGCTGTGGGCCAGCCGCCTCTGCGTGTTCTACGCCCTCCTCAAGGCCGGCCTCGCCGGATCCCCCTCCAGTCCATTATCCCCTTCTGGTTCGTCGATCTTCAACATGTTTGAATACCTAATCCCCTGCATTCTTTTTATTTTTATTTTTATCTGTGTGTCGCATCTGATCGGTTGCCCCGTTTCTCCCCTCCTTTTTTCTGTGTTTTCCAAGGTTCTGGGGTCAGGAGTGATGATCTCGGATTCTCCAAATGGCTGGAGGGCTGGCGAGGAGGATCAGGTCTCTTCTTCTTCTTCTTTCTCCCTCTTGGCTTCCGATTCCCCGAATTCCTGTGGGAATCGACATTGATCCGAGCGATCTGGCTCACCAAACTGGAATGAGTTCTTCAGATGTGGAAACATCCATAGGTCGCCCTATAGGGTTTTGTTGACCTGCAAACTGTTTGTGAAAATGCCCACCTGAGGACACCAACTCCACAGGACAGATTCTATGTTTTCCATGAATTAGGATTCTGATCAGACTTGGCTGCGTGATTCCCAGAGGACAAGGAAGCCGTGGACAGGAGGAAGTTGGTCAGCAAGTGGCATCCCACCACGAAGGGCACCCTCAAGAGGAGCTACCGGGTTCCTTCCAAGACCGAAGGCAAGCGCCTTCTCAAGGCCATCGCCTCCTTGCTCTCCGACGACGACCAGTTTATAGACGCCACCTCTCATAAGGTAACTCCTCTCCCTCTCTCTCTGTGTCCCAGCCCAGGAGAGGGAAAGTAATAGCTTCTTCCTGGCTGGCTTCTTCGAAGCTCAGAGGTTTCTTCCACAGCTAGAGAGAAATAAACAGTGGTCCAGCAACAGCTAGAGAGAAACCATCATTTGAATTACCTTGTCTTCTTTCGCTACTCAGTAAGGGATCCAGCAGGAGCTTCACCACCGTCTCCTCCAAGAGCAATCAGAGAGAATATCTCCCCTTCGGTGCTTCCTTCCAGCTGCTCTCACTCATTACTGATATGGTCAGAGTGGGTTCTCCGATTCGTGCCGCCATTCCCACCCTGAATATTTATATATCTCTCTCTCTCTCTGGTCTTCTTCATTCTCGATTACGCCCTCTCTCTCCATGCTTCTTCTCGATTTGGCTTCTGTGCGCTTAATGAGGAAGGTGGGTTCTCCGATTCCTGCCGCCATTACTAGAATCCTAAAGTTCTGAGAGCTGGGGTTGGCTTCTCCTGTCTTCCATCTTCCTCTAGATGAACTCTGATCTTAGGAGGGGCCTCTACGGCTTTGCAGGGTTGCCAGATAAGGAGGGAGAGCGCCCATGGCGAGAGCGTCTGCTGCAACAATGTCAGAGCCCTCTTTGATGAGCTCCCCACTCCGCACCTGGTTCTGGAGATCACGCCGTTCCCCGCCGGCCCCCTCGCCGACAAGGACTATGCTAAGGCCGAGAAGCTCGAGAAGGTCCTCAGGTCCGGCTCCTCTATCTGAACACTCTCTCTCTCTCTCTCTCTCTCTCTCTCTTTCTCTCTCTTCCTTTTCTTGTATATCAAAGGAATGATCGCCTGTACATACCCCGGAAGGCAATGGACATGACGCAGAGCTTTCCCGACAAAATTGTTGGGTTTGCTGTAGTTTTGCTTTGAATGACGGCACGTTTCGAGAAAATGTTCCTGATGGTGGAGATATCGATTGCCTCAGCCAGGCAAGGCGTTGTGATCATCATTGGAGAGAGAGAGAGAGAGAGGACGAACATCAGAGCAGCTCTCTGATATATAAACACGTGGATAGATTGATAGATAGAGGTTTAGGAGAGAAACAATTCGGATGCTTCCAGAGAGAGAGAGAAAATAAGGGAGCGGAGGAGGATGGCCCTCCCCCATGGCCACTACAACTACCACCACCAACAGCGGCGGCGCTTTACCCAGACGGCGAAGGCCCACAGAGTCTACCCGAAGAAGCCATCAAAAGCCAAGGATGAATTGCCCGCAAGCGAGGCTGCTGCTGCCTGCGACCGTCCCCCGGCGGCTCACCTGGCAGAAGACACCCGCCGCCGCTCTGCCGCTCCTCCGCCGCCGTGGGCGGCGCCGCCCGGCGGCCGGAGGACGTCCCCGTTCGAAGCGCTGGTCGTATCGGAGCAGGTGGAGGCGGAGGACCCGCCGACGTTCTCCTCCTCCGACGGCGACGGCCACCGGGCCGCCGTAGACCCGGAGACATCCCCGCCCGCCGCCGCAGCGGCTACCTGGTGCTCCTGCTGGGACTTCGTGTTCAGGAACCGCCCACCGGAGCCTCGAGCTCTCTTCACGGCGTGGAGATGGCGGGATTCGTGGAGGTACGGCTGCGAGAACGGCGGCGGCGAGGTTCGGTACCAGAGTTTTTTTCCGGCGGCAAAAAAGAAAATCGAACGGGAAGAAAGGAAAGATCCGGCGTTGACCTTCCGCTCCTTGACGACCTTATTCTGGGCCTCCAATTTGGCGCGTAGCTGTCTCCTCCTGAGGATCCGGTGGTACTGCTTGGCGTTGACATAGACGGGCTCGGCCTCCGCGAGTTCGATGGGAAGTGGGACCCGCGCGGGGAGGACGGCGGCCTCCGCCGCCATCTGGGGGTCGGCCTGCCCGCAATCAAGATTTTGAATCCCATCATCCAAACAAAGGATTCAATGAAATTACTTACATAAATAAACTAGCCGAAAAAAAAGAAGAAAAAATCTGCGGTAAAAGCCCAGGAGCATCATCAAGGTCAGACATTGGGCTGAAGGGGTTCTCAGGGTTTGCTGGATAGTCATCCAGGAGTAGTGAGAGAAACCGACGTCATTTGATTGCTTTCATGCTGATTGAGAGAGAAATTTGATTGCTCATGAGTGAGACATTTTTCTGGCCGATGGCGTACATAAAAACATGCTACTATGGGTATATGGGTTCGTTAGTAGGAGCTCCACCAGTTGACTTGGTCGGTTATATTAGAGCTCACATCAAGAGGCATAGCTTTCCAGCTGATGGGAGCAACCGATGCCTCATGAAAGAGAACCAAAGACTGGGAGGTCGCGAGGAATTTCCCTAAAGAATAAATAAATAATAATAATAAAAATAATAAAAAGGCACATAAATATGCTGCTATATTGGGTTGGTAGCAGGGCCAAACCATCCTGGGATTTGGCTATGTTTAAAGTCGGAATAATTGGTATTTTTAGAGAAATAAACAAGGATCCAGGACCCACTTACGAAAGAATGAGCTCCATAGGCAGCCACGAAGCCTCCATAGTATGGATCCACATACGTGTAGGGGATGCAATTCTGCGGCAGAGATTTGACACCACACTATCTATCATCAGATGTGAGCAGCCATTGAGCAAGCAAAGTGATGGATACAACAACAACAACAAAAAAAAGAGGTATATGAAGATGATCGAATAAATATGTATAAATATATCCTTACTACACCAGATGAACTCAAGATGGACTGCCTATAATCAGGGTTTTGGACGGAGAAGACTCCCAATGGTCCTGACGATAAAGCCAGGTTTCCACGTTCTTCAGCGGCATCGCTCCTATCTTCACCTGATGCAAGAGTGAGAATTAGAAACACAAGGTTCTTTAATTAAGACTCACCAGAAGAACATGACATGCTCACACATTTCGTTAAAGTTGGTCATTAAATGAACAGTGAGGATTCCTAAGATTGTTGAAAACTGGTCGAGATTACTGGCAAATCATGAATAAAGCGAAATAACTGGCCGAATATCATCTGATAAATGAGATCCTACAAATAATTCTCACGCAGAAAAAATGGAAAGCGAAAAAGAAATGGCAATGAAATGAAGCCTAAAACCAATCGACCGAGGGACCTGATCATAACCAAACTAGTAATGCAAATACTTATCCTGGATTAGTCTATAAAATTGCAGGTAATACAAAGCGTAGAAGATCACTGCATGTGGTCGACCCCAGCTGACTCACAGTGGACTCGTTGACCATAAACGAAGAAACTTCAAAGCCAAATCATTGCAGAAGACAATAAAAGAAATGTAAAAGAAACCCATTGACCACACCAAAAGGCCAAGTTAATCGAGGTCAGGTGCCGCAATGTGTGAACACCAGCGCCACAATGCTTGACCACAGATGATGGTGATTTTAGAAAGAAGAAAAGTCAACAAATTTATTTTTGGGAGCACGTCGTTAGAGTAAGCTGTGGTGATTCATACCGGGGTATGGCTTGAAAGACTGGATATTTGAGATCCCATGCCTCAAGCCCTCCAAAACGTTATGAGATTGACTGCTTGACTGAGTAGAGGATGAGTCCTGTTCTGGCATCTGGCGGATGAGTTGCCTCACTTGATTACAGCTCTGTGTGGGAGAGTTTATCGCTTACAAAATCTTTCAGAGGAGAATGAGAGGGAACCCGTGGTCAGCTTGAATCAAACGAGATAAACAAGCTTTCCAAGCCCTCAGATTCTCTCAGCTTCGTCCCTACCGCATGCTTGGGCGGTAAAGATGCGCACCTACAGAAGCTGAGGTTGCAAGGTTATTACAGTGCCGACTTGATTAGCACAAAGTTACTATTAATGATCAAGAGATTAAGCAGAGATTAAAGAAAATGAAAATAATTTCCTTGGAGAAAATTCCTAAAAGAACATAGCAAGAAGCCACATTGAGCTGATAGGATCGGTTGTTAAATAAATTAACTAGTCCAAAAGTGTTTACATGTAATTAGTCTGACATTCGGAGCATAATGCTAAAATTTAAACCTAATGTTTTTAGAGAAATAATGCTAGACGGAAAATAACATGTTTAATATTGGAAAAAAAAGGAAGCAAAACCAAAGGTGTGAGTATCGACAGTTCTTCACAAGAACAGTCATTGTTGGTCTCTCCCAATTTCAGGGTCTTCTGCCACCGAAGTTTAACTCAAATTATAATCCAGGTTCTATTGAAAATTCAACAACATTTGATATTAATTACTCTTTCGAGATTCTCTACATGGGAAAAAATGCAACTTTCTGTTGAGATCCAAAGAGAAAATAACTTCATCCGGCACAATTCTAATCCAGATCCAATTGAGGCACGAAATGCACCCGAGGGTAGCCAGGATTTCCAAAAACTCTATCGGCCACCGGCTTGAAGAACTTCCTTTCAGACGAAGAACATGGGGGGAGTGCGAATCGCCATCATAAGGGGGCAGCAGCCACATGCTCAGTTTCTTCAGGCGCGACCATCTATTGAAAGCCAGATGCATCTATTGCACACGCCTTATCTTCCCTCTTCGAGTTCAACCATCTTTTCTACGCCAGATGAGATGAGGAACACTGAATATGACTCGAACTCCCCCCCAACACAGGAAGAAGAAGAAAAGCAACTCTAGCATGCAGAGGTCTGATCAATCTGAGAAAAGTAACGCGAGGAATGCTCTGAAAGGCTGCACACGCTGGAAGGGAAGGAAATCAGCACTAAACAAACGAAAAGCAAAAGGAGATCAGAAATCACGCAGAGCCCACCCCGACAGTCGAACCGAGAAGAACGCAGAAACACCACCGGCCCAAAACGAGGGAAGCAAACAAACAAGGATCCGCAGAAATGCATTCAAAATGGCGTAGACAATCGTGAGGAGAACAAGACGTCAAAGAGACACGGGAACAGAGCTTCCCCTCGCCCCCTCCTTCCCCACCTTGGAGCACCGGGCGCGGCGACCCTGCCCCCTTCTTTCCCCGCAATCAGGCTTCCTCGTCATCGACTCTTTCCTTAGCTCCTCCCTCCTCCCGCCCATGCCAGCCTCCACATAGACCAATCCCCATCTCCCTCCCCTCCCCTCCCCCCCCCCCAAAAGAAGGGAAAAAAGAATAGACAGAGTACCACCACCACCACCACCACTTCGCTGCCGTAAATCCCTCCCAGCCTACACCAGGTATGAACCCTTTCCCTCTCTATAGCTTCCCCCCTCTCTCTCTGTCTCTCTCTGCGCCCACCGGCGAGGCAGCCTTCCACATCTCTCTCTCTCTCCCGACAAGGACAGTACGATAGTATCCTCCGGTGGGGCCATCTCGTGCGCCGGCTTACGTAACGAGATTAATGGTCCAATTGGTAATAAACAGAACTTGACAGGATCCTTTTCGGTATTCCGGTGTTCAAGGAGGGCCCCGCCTCGGCGGGGAAAAGTTAAATGGAATGGACCCTGCGTGCGAATTATGGCAAATACGGAATGACGGTAATACCCCGGCCCACAATTTTCCTGTTTTTAGTTATTTTAATAGCCTTTAGAGTTGCCATTATTATTATTAATTAGGAGTTTTTTCTCCTCTCTTTCTTATTCGTTGAATAAACAAAGAGGACGGTGATGCGCCAATGGGCCCGGGATGGGCCTTTCGGGCCTTAATCATCTCTAATGAGAAACCCAAGCCCAAGAAAAAGTCCAATTAGGCCCAATAGAGTGACACAGAGAGGAGATATGATACTGGCAAAGAAGCCACGTGGCAGATGCCAAGCCAAAGTGGGGGGTCCAGAGTGTACTGGGCCCAATAACACTCCCGGCCCATAAAATCAAGTAAATATCTCACCAGAAATATTTATTATTATATGAATAAAATGTATTAAAGTTTCTCGGTATTAGTGTTTTTTTTTGGAAAAAAAGTACAGATAGGGTCAACGATATAATACGGCGAGAACGATATTTATAGGACGAGAGGTGGATGTTTTTATAGTAATATCCGGGGATGATATTTATCACGGTCTTTGACTCGAAGAGAACGATATACCTCCATGAATTCCAACAGCATCGATCTCCAAGCCCAAAAGGATTCCGTAAATAATACGGCGCGAATCTTTGCAGAAAACTATTTAAAATCACGTCTTCATTAATTAGTAAATAAACACGCACATTTATTATTATCATATATATATCTAGAGAGAGCGAGAGATGGGTTCTTATGTATGTCTAGAGAGAGAGAGGGAAGAGGGGGAGAGAGAGATAGAGAGAGGGAGAGAGAGATAGAGAGAGAGGGAGAGAGATATGGGTTCTAGGAATAATGACGGATCGAATAATACATCAAGTCAGCCAATTAGATATTAACAATTTGGGGCAGGGGAAAAGGAGGGCAGCTGGCCACCGGCGGCGGTGGAGGGCGGCGGTGGGTACCATGATCGGTGCCTGAAACCAGTAGCCCCTCGTTCCCATCAGATGACGAACTTGAAGCCCCAGCAGGGGAGAAAATCAAGACTTTTCTCATGTGGAAGAATATTCGGAAATAAAATGCATATTTCCATGGTTCTTGACCTCCCCACACACACACAACACAGATAGAGAGAGAGAGAGAGAGAGAGAGAGAGAGATCTGCTAGGGATGCTTTATCTGCTGAGAGAGCGGGCTTCAGGAAAGAGAAAAGGAGGCATCAATGAGTTGACAACGATGAAATACAGAGAAAATAAAACGAGCAAAATGGGAATTAGAGAAACAGGAATAGAGATGGTCAACGGATTAGTCAACAGGCGGGTCTTCCTCTCTGTACTCCAGGCCATCATCACCATGGAAATCAAACTACGTTCCTACTTTCCTCAATGGTTAATTTCTTTTATTTTTTTAAAAAAATCTTCAATGCCAATTCAGGAAACTGTCATCGAGTAGGAGATCCCCCAGAAAAAAAGATGAAATCTTGTTTAAAAACTAAATTTAATAGGAATTATATAGAACTCACCCAGTGATCTAGAGTGGCAGATCGATCTTCTCGGACCACTTGAAGATGCCCGAATGGACCTGATCGCCGCCCAGCTCCTCGCCAGTAGCACCCGCCGCCACCCTGATGACATCTTCGATGAGGGCAAAGTTGCCCATGATGTCAACGTGGGCCCCACTCTGGGTCCCACGGCCTTCGAGAAGATTCGACGGCGGTGCATGGTCATACTCTCTCACGTAGGTCCTCATGCCGGAGGGGTTGAAGCGGGTCCTCCCCCGCCAGCCCTTGGCGCACATGAAGCCTGCGCTGAGGACGGGCACGGTCTCATCCCCGTCGACAGAGTGGACCCCACCCTTGAGGCAGCTCCCCTCAGTGCCAGCCTCCGCCGATGTGTCGATCTGGAATGGGATGTTGCACTCGGAGGAGGAGGATATCTTGTAGACATAGGATCTCTCAGTGGGGATGCCGACACCGTACATGGAGTATATCTCCATTTCAGGGGCATCTGGAAGCCTGAAGAAGCAAAGATGAGGTAAATTAATCAGTCTTTTGGGACTATTCCTCGTGTTCACTACTCATCATGGAAATCGGGCCACCCAGCTCAAAGTTAAACATTAAGCCAGAATAATAATTGATATGGGACTGACTATTTCTTATCAACGTTATTCCCAAAAATCATCAAAACTATAAAAATAAAAATAAAAATAAAAAAAACTTTGGACACGATTAAGCAATAGAGAGATTTAATGTCATCTTAACAATGGCATGCCCACCAATAGGCCCAATGCATGAAGAAGAATATGAGATGCTCAATGAATGATGCAAGGCAGTAGCACTAGCGAGAGAGAGAGCGAGAGAAAGAGAGAGGAGTGAGAGGAGAGAGAGAGAATCTCACGTGGTCTCCAAAGGGTTGGACCAGTGCTTGTAGTGTTGATACTTGGGATCACTTAGATCATCTGCAATTCCATAAGAAAAATGGGTGCCTCCGCGCTGCATCATCTTCGGGGCCACAAAATGAAGAAGGTCCAAGATTGAGCTCGCTGTGTAGACCTTGTAGTCCGCCACCGCCTTGATTCCTCCCCAGCCCATCTCGTGGTATTCGTTCCAGACATCGCAGGAGGCATTTGCTGCCGCAAAGTTATTTCCCTTGATGGCATCCTGAAAACAGGCAGCCTCATGGTAAAGGGACTCCAGTATGATCAATTAATGGGAAATTCTCTTTTATTCAGAGTCCACATAAAATAATTCCTCGCAAATAATTAATTACAAATAATCTGAGCACGAGATTAGACTGATCCTACTAAATATTGATGAGCAGAGTTGATGTAAAACATAGAATCTTCTTCTTCTTCTTCTTCATATTATTATTATTATTATTATTATTATTATTTCTGAACAGGAACAATGGATCTCTGTAAGGAGGCTGACTGGCCCTGGGAAGCAGAGTTTCAATAAAAAAAGTAGAAAAAATAAAAACCGATGTTGAGGCATTCATCTCCACAGGATCCTACCAAAATCTAAGATGGTACACTAGAAAATAGTTTTTTTATCGTTTTTTGGCTCATAACCATGGTCGTGTAAAGAGTAGATTGGCCACGGGAGGGTAAAGTTTTAACTAAAATAAACTTAAATAAAAACATAGCAATGGAGTCATCACTGAAGATCACAATTTTCCTAGAACGTCCCATGAAATTGATACCATAATGACCAATTGATCTGAAGAATCACCAGGGGAAACAGAAAGTGGAGTAGGGTGGGTTATGGGAAGTTACCCGAAACTCTATCCGCTCAATGGTGGATGGAGGAGCCACAGAGACATCTTTCCCGAAAGACACAAGCCTCCCATAATTAGAATGATCTAAGGGGGGAACCACCTTCTCGGCCTTAACGTCCTCAGCCACCTGAGAATCATTGTGCTTAGGTTTCTTAAAGCTACATTCAGATCCCTCCTCGGGGGCCCAATCAAGGCCACCCCAGATCGTGTCTCCCCCTTTTGGGATCATCGACATGGTCGAATCCCACGTGCGGGTCATCCTCATCACGTGTTGTAGAGTCTGAAGACCGAGCAGGTCAGAGTCCAGCACACCAGGAGCAATTGCCCTGCATAAAGAGACAAAAAGATAGTTCGCGTATTGGTACAGCTCATTGTGGGTTGAACAAAAAAAGTTCACGACCCAAAAGAATTGGAAAAACTTAATATGTCTTCGATTTACTGAAGGTTATTGAATTATTCCATTAGAAATCTGGTTATTGAACCTAAAAGATCCCTCAGATTGCATCAACAAATGGGCAGCAAGTGGAAATTGAAATTAAGACTCCTCAGGTTGTATGCTTTTAATATTCATAATTTATTAAATTCTTCAACTGAGATCTGACTAATTAACCTAGAAGAACCCTCAGATTGGATCAACAAATGGAAATTGAAATGGAAATTGGGGAAAAAGAGAAAATGACAGCTTATTTCCATTGAAGATAAAAAATAATTATGGCCCAAAAGATTGGAGAACCGTCAGATGTATGTGTCTTCGACTTTTTTTAACTCTTATTAAATTCTTTCATTGAAATCTGATTAATGAGGCAAGAAGACACCTGAAATTTTACCAACAAATGTTGAAATGGAAATGGAAATTGGGCATAAAGAGAAAACACGGATTTAGTTGCCAATGAAAATAAAAAATCTACGCCAACAGGAATGGAAGACCATGATATGTCTTCACCTTTTCGAGATTTATTAAGTTCTTCTATTGAGTTCTGATTCAAGAACCTAAAGAATCTCGGAAATTGTATTGCCAGGTTGAGAAATGTAAACGGAGATCGGTCGTAAAGAGAAAACAAGTGCTTATTCAAGATATAAAACCCAAGAGATTATAAAACATTCTTCAGCGTCTCCAATTTTCAGAAACCTGTTAAGCTGAATTCGTCGTTTAATACTGCTAAAATGGTATCAAACTAATCTGGGTATTTCCGAGCAATACTCATTCATGGAACCCAATTATGGATCATCAGGTCCCAGAAACTGAAAGAGTAGGTACGAAATAAAGGTTTTAGGAAATCATCACCAGGACATAGTCTGAAAGAAGAAAGTACCTGGCAAAAGCAACATCCTTTGCCTCAGCTGAGAATAGACCTGCAACTGCTTTAGGAACACCCAAGAATGGTCCACCAATGTTCATCACAGCCTTTACATGCCTTGCACACCAGTCTGAGCCCCCACCACCCCCCATCGGTCTTGGTACTTCTACCCACTTCATGAAGTGGAGAAAATACAAAACTCCCATTGAATGCGGAATCACCACCACCTTCTTTCCACCGTTCGTCGACACCATGAGTTCTATGTTACTCTTTATCCTGCTGAGCGTTTTATCTCTCACCTGTTCAATCCGATTCAAAGCCAGTAAGATGGAGAAAGCGCATCCATGGAGCCCAGAATGCTTCTTCTTCTTCTTCTTCTTCTTCTTCTTCTTCTTCTTATTATTATTATTATTATTATTATTATTATTATTATTATTAATATTATTATTATTATTACTAAATAAAAAGAAAAGAGTAGATGGGTACCTCGGTGTTCTGGAAAGAGAGTCTCCAGTCGTATGCAGCCATGTACATGGTCTTCTCCTCGTAGCCAATACGTGCCAAATTAGCAATTAGAACGGCCCATACGAAGTACCCTGGCGCGAAGTAGTCGGCGGCCACAAGGCCCGTAACGGGTCTGATTCTGATCCCAGAAGGGTCTAACCCAGTTTCATTATCCAAGGACATGTGCTCGACCCAGCACAAGGGTCTGCAGAGGTTCCAATCATAGCAAGCAACATGAAAAAAAATAAGGCTAAGCTGTATTAAAAGATTTGCGATAAGATAAAATAAAAAGGCCTGGTCACTGGAGAACAGATTCTGAGGAAGAAGACCGGATGCCTTTTTGCTCACCAAAAGGTATCTCTAGATCCATGGCAAAATGAAGTATCAGGAAATCCCATCAAGAAGGCGCTAAGAACCAGCGCAGAAGATCAGACTGGTAATAGAGGAGAAGGAGTAGGAGAGGAGAGATAAGCGGGCGCACCTCTTGTACACCTCCCCGAAGGTTCCTCCCCAGAGGCGCTTCCGGAAGAGCCCGTCGGCACACTGGTGGCCCTCCCAGAGCTCCAGGCCGCCGGTGACGATCCCGGGGACGAAGACCACGGGGTGCCTCGCCGTCAGCCCTTCCTTCTTCAGCTTGAGCCCCGGGGGATCCGGCAGCGGCCCCGTGATGGCCTCCGTCACATACTGCGGGAAGGACGCCGGCATGGCGTTGTAGAGGAAGAGGAGAAGCCACCAAGCCGAGCACACGCAGCCGATGAACCAACAGCAGTTGTCCACGCACGACCACTTCGCCTTCTTCTGTCTGGTCGCCGGCACCCTTTCGGCCTTCTTCTCCTCCTCCTCCGCCACTCCGACGGCGCCGGCGCCAACCGGTAGCTCCGGCGGAGCGCTGCCCTTCCGCCGCCGCAGCATCGACATTTTCCGCCGCCTTCCCCACCCCCCGGATCGAACTCTACCCTCTCCGGCGGACCGCTGAGAGGCGGTGGCGCCGCCTTCTCGGTTTGGGGAGAATGCCGGCGAAACTGGGCCTCTGGTTTTTGCAGCGAATTCGCTACGCGGAGGAGAAAAAGGGGGGGGGGGGTTGGAGGGGGGGTTGATGACATCATCACGGCGTCCGCATACGTGGCACTCACTGGATGGTTCGGGTCCCTTCACTGGGCCCCGCCGCTTGGGCGTATCCTCGAATTTTAAAAGGCCCTTGATTTCACATTATTCACAGAAACACCACTACCTCCCAGAAGGAGCACGTGGCGATCCGGATAGTACGGCCATCAGCCCGTGTTGCACGTGCCAAGCGAAGTTTCCAATGGGCCAGACTTCTGACGATTTCCGGCCGGGCCACTAAATTAGGCCCACAAATAAAAACAGGGTCCGCCCATTAATGGGCCCCTCCCCTCATGGGGGCCCAAGGGAATCACTTGTTACCAGGTCCACAATAACACCTGGCGGTCAACCCAAGCAAGTGAAGCAACCGTACGTGTCACCACGTACCGACTCCCAACGGACTACCAATGGCCCCAAGAGAGAGAGAGCTAGAGAGAGAGAGAGAGGTTTTTTTAAGAGAGAAAGGGAGGACAAGGCCGGCGGAGCCGTACAGTCGTCCGCCGTCCCCCACCCGGCAAGGCAGAGTCTTCCATCGTATCTGGACCCGGTTTGAATCGGCCGAGTCTGCCGATTCACCGGCCACGCCAAAACCTCTGACGTTATAAAAATGAATAAATATTAAAAATATTTTTTGATGGCATGCAATTAATGCCTTCGCATATACTCTGCAAGTGGCCGATATTTTTAAAAAATAAAACCGCACTTTCCAGTCACGGATAATATAAAACACCGAAATAAAATTTTACAGTTATTTATTAAAATTTGCTCCAGGGAAAAAGGTAGAGCGGTGGCCTCTCAGTCTGGGAAAAGACGCAAAAGCCTCCCACTACCCCCACATCCGCCCTGCGATAAGGAGGCTGATTTGGGCATTTTCATGCTGCTTATCGTACGCCTTGTCTCCGTCCACGCGGAGTCTCCGTTGACTAGGAGTTGAGGATAGTCGGCGAAGATGTGGGGCCCAGTCTAACGGTGCCAAACGGCGCTTCCCTGCTTCGCCCCGCCTGGTGGCAACCCCACCCCCCCACCAAATCCTTCCCTCCGTTTTTAAAAGGCCCATCCCCCTCCGTCTTCCTTGAGATCTCCTCCACCACTTTCTCCAAACCCTAGCCATTGCAGCGAGCTCCCCTCATTTAGCGCTCTCTCTCTCTCTCTCTATCTATCTATATATCTCTATCTCTCTCTGTGTCTGTGGGGCTTTCGTTTTCCAGCTCGGCGGCAACAGGGGAGGAATTAAAGCCAACGGGGAATCTCTGCGGGAGGAGAGAGGAATTGATGGAAGCTATTAAAGCCGCCTGAGCAGGAGCAGTAGTCCTTGTCTGCTCTCTCGCAGAGGAGGAGTCTCCTACGAGAGAGCTCGACCACAAACAACCCCCCGCCCCCGATCTCGCCGATCTGGAAGAGGATGCTGACGTGCATCGCCTGCTCGAAGCAAATCGGCGGCTCGCTCCAGCAGGAGCCAGAGGATGAGGACGGCGCCGCGACACCGAGCACTCGGCACGCCATCAGAGCCCTCACAGCGCAGGTAGATACGGCTCCATGGCCTAGGGTTTCCTCATTCTGAAGGCGTTCGTCGTTTTGTCCTCCTGAAGATTTCCGCGTTGGCCAGATCAAGGACATGGCGATGAAGGCCTCCGGAGCCTACCGACAGTGCAAGCCCTGCGCCCGCCAGACGGCGGCGTACGCCGATTCCGACGCCGCCTCCGGATCGGAGAGGTTCCACTACGCATACCAGAGGGCCGCCGCTTGCAGCGGCCTCGGGAGCTCGTCGTCTACGCCGAGGGAAGTTACTCCATCGATGAGCGGGCGATCGGAGGTAGGCGTGGTGGTCGCCGAGGAGGAGCAGAGGGAGTGGGTAGCGCAGGTGGAACCCGGCGTCCTCATCACCTTCATCTCCCTCCCCCACGGCGGCAACGATCTCAAGAGGATCCGCTTCAGGTACCACCTCTCCCTCTTCCTCTCTCTCTCTCCATCTCACATTCTCTCTCCTCCCCGTCGCCGGAACCAGTCTATCCATCTCCCCTCCCCCGATGGCTTCAAATTTTCTCAGCGGGATCATCCAGTACCGTGCGATTATCACATCCCTCGAATTCCAACAGTCTGATCCGTTCACTCCACACACTTGACAATCTTCAGTCCCGTTTAGGACACTCGCCACCATCTTCTCCGGCGCCGGCGCCCCTCTCTCTCTCTCTTCCTCGCTCTCTATACTTCCGCGTCGGGAACGAGTCCTGGCCGAGTCCGCTCGGCTCTCCAGGACGACCAGCTGTGAGTCTGACCGGGTCGCGATTTCCACAGGTCTGCACGAATTTTGAGACACTCAAATAGGGATTCCGGGTCCGGATCCTACAAACGGGTCCGATAACTACTCCATTATATTTTTTTTATCCTTAATTGAAGAATATGTGAGATCGGAAATTACTATTCAATCCCGTGAAATCCAACAGTTTATTTCATCCCTGTAAAGAAGACAAAAGCGACGAGCAGAACAGGCATCGCCTTTGTCTCGATCTGCTGAAGTATGAAACTACACCTGGGCCCGGTGGCGCCGCCGGGTTGTCCGCTTCGCCGCCCCACGGCAGCCGCGGATTCTGGTGAGCGAGCGGATCCCCGCCACCGTTGGCTCGATTATCCCCACCAATAATTTCTGCCCTCCCCGCAGAATCTGGTGATCCTGTCGGGTAATCATCCAACCCACCCATCTCTCTCTCTCTCTCTCTCTCTCTCTCTCTCTCTCTCGCATCCGTCCCCATCTCAGCTTTGCTTCTGGTGGAGAAGGGAGTGCCCATGACCTGAGAGACTGGCTGTCCCTGGAAAGGATGAGGGGGACCTGGAAATGAGGAGGGCTGTCTGGAAAAGTAAGGAGGGCGTTGTTATTTCTGTCCTCCCATCATGGGTTTTTACAAATCTTTTGTAGTGATCCATGCAATCTTTCAGGGCTTCTGTTTAATTAATTGCTTTCTTAGCGGAGCTAATCATGGTGGCGGGAGTGAATTTTCCTGCTGGTTCTTCTCTCATTGTCTATGCTTTTATGGCGGCGGCAGCCGGGAGTTGTTCAACAAATGGCACGCGCAGAGGTGGTGGGCGGAGAACTACGACAAGGTCATGGAGCTGTACAACGTCCAGAGGTTCAACCACCAGGCCGTCCCCCTCCCCACGCCGCCAAGATCTGAGGACGAGGTTCTTTCCCCCCCTGTCTTCCCCCGAATATCCCTTCGGCAGTGACTACTTCGGATTTTAATCCTCTTCTTCTTCTTCGTCCCCTTCAGAGCTCCAAGGTTCAGTCGTCGGAGGACAGCCCCGTAACGCCGCCGCCGAGCTCGGAGCGCCTCCCGCGGAACCTCCACCGGCCGCCGAACGCCGGCGGCGCCGACGTGGGCTCGTCCTGCCACGACTTCGGCGGACTCGCCGCCGCCCCCCCCACGCTGTCAAGCATCAGCGCCGCCAAGACGGAAACCTCGTCGGTGGACGCCTCGAGGAGGACCAGCTCCTCCCCAGAGGACGGCCGTTCGGGCGAGCTCTCCGTCTCCGTCAGCAACGCCAGCGACCAAGAGAGAGAGTGGGTCGAGCAGGACGAGCCAGGCGTATACATCACCATCCGTGCCCTCCCCGGCGGCATCCGCGAGCTCCGCCGTGTCCGCTTCAGGTTTCTCTCTCTCTCTCTCTCTCTCTCTCTCTCTCTCTCTCTCTACACCTGTGGGTTGATGTAAATTCACTCTGCATATGCAGTCGAGAGAGGTTCTCCGAGATGCACGCGCGCCTGTGGTGGGAGGAAAACCGAGCCAGAATACACCAACAGTATCTCTGAAAAGGATCTAGAGAGAGAGAGAGTGGCAGAAGGGGGAGCTTCGCTCTTCAGTCTCCGGCTGAGGGAGGGGCGCCCTCTCGAGCTTCTAGCCGGCGTGGATATGGCAGACAAGAAGCCACTCGGGCGAGCTAGAAGATACCATGGAAGCACCCCCGCCGTCCGATCGTTGCTTTCTCTTCCTTCCATTCCGCACCGTCTTTCCTCGTTATTTCTCAGGTTGGTGTGTGAATGAATAACAGGCCTCTTGGCCGAGAGGGGTCAATGGAAACTGTGGCTGCTTGGTGACCGAGATCTTGACCGCGGATGGTTGACATTTGTGAGTCAATAGGCTTTTGAATTTTTTGGGCTGACCTCCGGTCCTGCTTCCCACGGCAAGTTGCCTTTTTTATCCATTTTTGTTAACGGGTAGGAAATTCGAGAGTTGACCATCTATTTTAGTCAACGTATTCTATCAGGAATCGCTGTCCATTCTAGAATAGGCGATCTCAGAAAATACGAAAAATCACCTCAGCGGAGGGCTTCTTATTTGGGTGCTTGACTTCCGAATTCAGTGAGAGTTGACTTCTTCAGCAATAATTACAAAAGAGAGTGAAATTAGACGGTCCGTGTTATTTGGGAGGAAAATAATATGAGGCTTTATGGCAGACAAAAATGGGGATAATTAAGAAAGGGATGTGAAACGACACACGTATCGGACCATATGACTCTATTAGGCCAATATGTAAATAGGCCCCTGTTTTAATCTCGAGAGGGATGGACGGGGGAAGGCTACTGAGCCCATTAATGCGAGGACGACCAATAAAAATGGGGAATCTCCCATTGTAAACCAGAAGATGATCTGGACCGTCCAGATGGCGGAATCTAGTGGTCGAGTTGAAGTCCAGCCGCACGATTGTCAATCGAAGTTAGGAGGGGATAAAGAGACGACAAGGTCCACGTCAGCGAGATTCACGTGATGACGTAGGCTGGGGAAATGGACGGGAGAATTTTTTTTAACCGGTCGGGTGGTATCTACCGGGTCAAACCGGACCGGTGAACCGGTCTAAACCGCCTTCCGCCTTCGCCGGCGACGGGGGTTGGTGCGGCGGCCGGGGTTTTAGAGAGAGAGAGAGAGATCGCTGCCATTGCAGCACCGAGCCAGCGGAAGACGCCGGCAGGTCCTCCGGCGAGAGGAAGAACCAGAGGGGGTCACAGAGGTAGGACATTGGAGAGTCACCTACCTGTGTGCACATTTTCCGGATCCAGCCTAGGAAGAAGAAGCGTCTGGCGAAATGGCTGCCACAGATAGCAAGAAGACAACCTCACCTTCCGGATCCAAGCTAGGAAGAAGAAGAAGAAGAAGCCTCTGCTCTGCTCTCTCTCTCTCCTTCTATTCTCAGGTGACAGGTAGAAGAAGCAGGGACAGAGAAGCTGAGATTATTCAGGAAAGCAAGACTACACTAGCAATATTTATAAATGAAAAGAGGAGGAAGGGGGGGGGGGGGGGGGGGTGGAGAAGGAGAAGAAGGAGAAGGAGAAGGAGAGGAGAAAGAACACATTCAGCTGGGATATGTATAGAAAAAGAGCAAGAGAGAGCAGGAGATTAAGGGGTTGGGATCAGGCGCCGGTCTCCGGCGAGCAAGTCTTGGCGGAGAGCCGCTTGAGGAACTCGTAGGTTGTTATCATGGTGGTGGCGGACATGGACATGGACGCCCACCGCGGGCCGAGGCCTCTGTAGCAGGCTCCCCACCCACCTTCCCGGAGGAGGCTTCGCACGGTCCTGGAGATGGTCATCGGGCCCTTCCTCCCTCCCTCCCCCTCCTCCCCGTCCAGGACCTGCATCCTGGTCTTGATGGTGTCCAGCGGCATGGTGATCAGTGCCGACATGCCCCCCGCCACCGCCGCGCTGACCGCCTGCACCGCCACCACCGACTTGTAGTCCGGCGTCAGCCCGTTACCGCCGCTGCTGCTGGTGGCGACGATGCTCCTCCCGTCGTCGTAGCCACCACCGCCGCCGCCGCCCCCCTGGTTGCAGAGGTAGTAGCCGATGCCGCTCCAGATGGTCCTCTGGGACAGGGAGTAGGAGGCCCACCACACGGCGTTGGAGGGAGCGTAGGTGAGGATTGACATGCCGAAGCCCCTATACAGTCCCCTCATCCCGTCCACCATGAGGATCTTGCGAAAGGCGTCGATACCGCCGCGGTACCGCGCAGCCGATCCTCCTCCTCCGCCGCTCCCCTGCACCATCAGCCGCTGGCTCACCACGTCGATCGGCGTCCACACGACCTGTGCGGCCATGGCGGCGCTCAGCCCCGCGGCGGCGTTGGCGATGGTGGCCGCCGCCGGCTCCGGCACGCCGAGCCGTACGGTGGCGCCGCCGACGCTGCTCTTGGTCACCTCGAGGGCCGTCATGTACAGTGCCCTAGCTGGGATGGTGCCGGTGATGGAGGTGCCGAATCCGCGGTAGAATCCTCGCGGCCCTTCGTGCCGGATAATGGAGGCGGCGGTGCGGAAGCACGAGATCGGGGACTGAGATATCTGCAGACGCGTCTTGAGGACGACGATCGGGTACAGCGCCGCCGATACGCCAGAGAAGAGCCCCGCCCCGAGGAAGAAGAACCTCGACTTGTCGAGCATCTGCCAGTCGATGTCCGCCGGCAAGTGGATCTCCGCGGCCTGCGCCGCCTGCTCCTCATCCGCCGCCGCCGCCGCCGTCGCCGCTAGGCTCATGCCCTCCTCACCCGCTGCCACCGTTCCTCTCTGATCTCCCAACTTTTCCCCACCAATCCCTACCTCATCAAACTCCGATTTCTTCACAAAGAACCACAAAAACCTACAGAAGATTTATAAACCTCGATCACTGAAACTCATTCGTAGGCGAAATCCACACGCATCTGCCACTTCCCTCTGTACACGATCGATCACACGACCAGATGAAATGAAGAACCAGAAATCTACCACGGTCGATAATCTACCTCCTTCCGATCAACGCAGAACCGAAGTCCAAATCTGAACGCCGCCAATCGCCCCCATCCATTCCCCGGAAGGGTTCCTCCGTTTCAGTCGGGGAGGCGGCATCGGACGGATCCCACCAGTGCGCCGCAATCTCAGCCTACTGGAGCTCCGATCCTTCCTTCCTAAGCTCCCCTGTGCAGAACCGCGGCGAAACCTCGCCGGAGTTGCAGGGCGGCTCGAATGCTGGCGGCGGCGGCGGCGGCGGTGGTTGTCCCCTTCCCTTTCCTTCCTCCCAAGGTTAGGGGTGACGATTTTTGGGATCGTTTCTGCGTTTCCCGGGAATTAGATATCGTGAGGCGACTGACACGTGCCGGACATCCGTTGGGGAACCTCCCAGAGGCGGTGCAGGTCCCGCCAACAACGTAGCGTGACGTGGCGTTCGGCCGGTCGTCCACCGGCACGTGCCCGTACACCCGTGGTGGGTGACCCCATGTGACTCCTTTGGGGATCCCGTGGTGTTGTGTAAGCCCTCGAAACGGATAATGGGGACCCCATATCGCGAAACCGGGTTTGGATCGGACGGCCCATAGTCAGCCGATCTTTCGAGATCGGCCGGTGGGCTCCGATCATACTGATTAAGCGAAGGCCGCTGTCGACGTGTCGGGCAACCATATCGATCCAGCTAGAATTACCCTTCCGTTCCAGCTCTCTGACGGATCGAACGACAACCGTCCGATGCTACAACATGACAGAGAAAAAAATATGAAAAACATTTTTTTTCAGGATTTTCCCGTTAATCTAATAGGATTTATCCTAGGGTACTTTTGCACGTCTGAGTCTTCCTTGGAGGTTATGGTCAATAACCTTTTGCTTAATGATGAGGTTGATGACGTGGGGCAACGTGTATTAACAGATCAACGTGAGGGTTCCCTCCCTCTAAAAGCCTTCTCACGGGAATCTCACCACGTGCTTAATGACTTTGCTAGTTTTTTGCAAATAAGAAAACCTAACGCAAATACTTGCTTTTATACTTCTGAACACGGAGTTTTATGCAAATAACCTTTGCTCTCTGGATGAGGCCGATGACTTGGTAATGTCTATAATGCGCGCAGAGGACAACTATTGCCTCCGAAATTATTAACACGACCAGTACCCTCTCTTTCTCTCTACAATTATTAATTGATTAGCTATTAGATTCTTTTAAATTATTGGATCCTCACGTAAGCAGGGTGTTGTGACCAGAAAGCCCATGGGCCCAGTCGAAGCTAAGTCGATAAGATTCTTTTTCTGTAATTTTTTTGCTTTAAAAATATTACAGAAAAGGATTTTCTTGACGGTAAGCTAATACAAAAAGAATAAATTAATTCCCTGCGGCGGAAGGAAGGCTTGGCTTTGAAGGGAAGCGTCGTGTGGTCCCCACTTGACGGGTCTTGTTATTGGGCCAATTGCTTGGGACCCACCAGCTTCATTGCCCTTCCGAAGACTCAGGGAATCACGTGGGTGGAGAGATGGACCCCGCACGTCTCCTCAGTTAGTCCCGTCAACTGCCTTCTTCTTTCTTGCTGACGTGGATCCCATTCGTCGATGTAGACAGAACAGCCGGGGCCATTTGTGGGCTGAAATCATCATGGCCCATTAAGGTACCACCGAGCATGCTCTTGACGTGGGGGTCGGCCTTTTTGACGGATCCAATCATTCGTTTCTAAGGAAGCAAAATTGAAAATAAAAAGATACGGTTTCAGAAGCTACGGTTTCAAAATTGAAAATTGAAAATTGGGACTGTAGAGTCCGAGTTAGCTACGGTTTCAGAAGCTAGGGGGAGAGTTAGCGAGGGTATATTAGTAATTAGGAGGGGCGGGCCCTCTTGCTGCAGGAGGGGCATTTATAGTGCTTGATGTGCTCGGCGCGGGCGGGGGTGATCTTGACGCACTTGCCGTGGAACCACCGCTCGCAGATGTCGCAGCAGATCCAGAACTCATCTGAGGCGTAGCTCTCGCCGCAGGCCCCACAGAGAGTCTCGCCATGCTCCCCCTCCTCCTCCTCCGCCTCCTCCATCCCCTCCTCTTCCAACTCCTCCTTTGGCGGCGCCGCCACTGCCTTCTTGGGCTGCGACTCCCGAGGCCTCTGCTTTGTTAGCGAGAGAGAGAGAGAGAGAGAGGAAATATGTATATTAAGAAGGAATAAGATGTGTACCATCATATCCCTCTTTGTTCTACATCTGGTTTCCAGATTTGGATACCATCCAAAAAAATGGGAGCCAGAAAAAGTAAGCAATATACTATCTATCCAGAAAAAAGTAAATTACGGATTTTTCTGCTGATTCGCATTAGAAATTAGAAAGCGAGGTGGAAATAAAGCGATGAAGCTCACCGCTTTAGAGCTTGACTTGGATTTGCTGCTGCTGCTGCTGTTGTTCGTGCTCGATGCCTTCACCAGCTTCTTCCCGTTGACGGCTTCAAATACGGTGGGAAGGTCATTTATCATGTTGAACAACCGTTTCCTGTGCCACAGATGGCGCTCCAATATCTTAGGAATGACAAGAGCTCAGATAAATAATTAGAAAATAATGTAAGAACAAAGAATGGGGTGGTGGGATATACGTGGGTTTCCAAGAGCTGAATCATCATCTCAACAACAGCAACTCAATCACTCATAAGTTTCAATGATTTTCTATGCTGAAAGCTTTTAAAAGAATCCAGCATAACATGAAAGATGCCGATTATATATACTCAACAACCCGAGAACTCATTAACCACTCCTTTCTCTTCAGCCTAAACATAGCCAACGAGCTCTTGTCAAAATGGCAACTCCAAAGGACATCATACGACATGTGCAGCACAGACTTAGGCCCGTGAAAAAAATAGGATCTTGAAACCACACTCCACAACTGAGATCTGAGGCCCAAAGTAACAACTTCAAAATGGCTGTGACTTATGAGACAGCTGAGAAAGACGTAAGCAGTCTAAATCAATGGCAAAATGGTGGGTCCAAACTAGAGTGGGTTGTGACAATATAGAAGCACATCCACGAGGACTGGATGCTGGAAATCTCTGTGTGACTGGATGCTTAAAACCAATTGGAGCTTTGTAAGAAAAACCCTTAGATATCTTTTCTTTCCCCTCAATGACAGATAATTTGGCATCGTGATCATACCAAGTAATCTGAGAGCCATTTTAAGGAACTGATGTGGAACAGGAGTTTGAGACAGTTTCTCACATTTCAATGCAAGGAATAACAACTCCCTCATGCATAGCAGAACCAAAGTTGCGCTTCAAATCAAGATATCGTCAAGGTATTTATACCATAATCTAATTGAGATATTGTACAGGGACATTTGTCAAACCAAAACATGCCTTGGCACCTAAGACTATCATTCCCAATAGTCTTCAAAACAATTTTCCACTCACAACTAACGCGAATGTTGATCTAGGAGTAGCTAGCGCCCCAAGTTGTTCTAAGAGCACATATTTTTTTCATAGCCATCTTGATGGCAGATATGTCATCTAGCACTAAATCAGAATACCAATACATCGGGATTACTACCAATGCATATCCTCCCTTTGTTCACCCTCAATTCAAACAAGTTACGGGTCAGCCTGTGGAAGGATTTCTTAGACTACGTCTGTGTTGAAAAGGGCTATGTTGGCTTGTACGGACCGAGTTTAGCAGGACTGCGCAACTGGACATCATATAGTGGATACTTAAGGCTTCCATTTCAGTGTTCGTCACCTTGATATCAGCTAGTGAATTATGAAATAACCATACTGTGAACAGAGATTAAATAGTATTCTTAGAAGAGCTTCAGGTAAACATTAGATGAATACTGTGGCAGAGAAAAAGGCATAACTTTCATTTAATTTTTTAGATATATGATGAAAACACAGATATACATATATATATATATACATACATATATGTATGTATGTATATGTAGAGAAAGAGAGAGAGAGAGAGAGAGAGAGAGAGAGAGAGAGAGAGAGAGAGAGAGAGAAGTGGACTATGTAAATGCCCTTATTATGAAAATTATGTCTTTTCTGACAAAGTAGTGAAGTGTGAAGTTAGAGAAGCAACTGCCGGAGACTGGAGTTCCCGCATAAATAAGCCTATCAATCTCTTAAAGTATATCAACTATTGAATAAGGGAGAAAAAAAAAATCCAAACTTAAATGAAATATCAACCTTAAATAAATAACATAATCCAGGAATGCAGAGGAAAAAGTGGCCAACTTCACTAGTAGATAAATAGAGTAGCAGCCTAGAGTAAATATCATACCGGGAACGCCCTACTATCAACGCAGTTAAAGGGAACAAGATTTCCAGAGCTAATTCAATTCTGGAGCTCTTGATCCAAGACACCCAAAATTATGAGCATAACTGGGCACCTGCTACACTCATAGGAATTATTGAGCAATAAGAACTTCTCCAAGTTGGCTCCAAGTAAAATAATCAATCCAGTTGCAGAGTTCTTTCAAGTTAAATTGAACAATGACACTCAAGATCCAATGTTGAGTCAGTGGTAAAATGATAGATGTTATATCATGTGAAATGCACATAATTCAGGAACATAAGCTCTTCTCTCCTGTGTTCATCCACACCATCTGACTAAAGTATGTGCCTCGACCTTTATGTGATAGGACTCACTATATAGGTGGAATGGCAAAACTAGACACAAGATTCAGCTATAATAGGGCCATGTTATTTAAAGATACCTAGATAGAATCATTTAAATTGTATAAATATATACATTCAGGCAATATTTTACAAGTCAGCTAGCTTAGATTAAATATCCTATCTCAGATTTTCCAGCTGTGTCCTTGATTCCCACTTAAACAACACACATTCGTCTATATTTTTTTTATTGAATGCAAACATCTCTTTCTCTGCCATCCAAAGTCAATAACAATCGGTAGGTAAATGATAGTCTTGTCCCCTTGACTTGACCAAAAGACATCAGATGTCATGTCTTAGGGTTTGTAAATGACATAACAATACAACTGTATACGAATACAACCACACATATCAAGACAACAAACATTGTTTCCTCAAAAGAACACTGTACAGGCAGAGGGCCAGGTGTTCATCTTCCTCATGTAGACGAATAAATTACTTCTTAAAAGATAAGACTGGTAAAAAAAGAAATGGAGATGATCGATGTTAAAAAAAAAATCCAGATACGAGAAATGCGAACTCAAAAATCATTGATATTTTCCCAGAACATACCGCAAACGAACACAAAGATCACGTGTCAGTTATTCATACAGTCTTAATAAAATGGGCAGCAATTGAAATGAAACTGTGGAGAAAATTACCTGTCATTTCTGTCAAATCCAAATCTAGCACCAAAGTAAAATGCCACAGCTAGCAACCATGCATCACTGTGGACAGCAACCAAAGATATCCAATCCTTTTCTTGCATGCCATCCCTTGCAAAATTAATGCCTAATGCAGGCTCAGGGAGTTCTGCTGGTACCTCTTCTGCAGGCAAATTGACTTCCCAATGCTCATTCGGAAATCCATAAAGACATAAATTCTCCTTCTCTGCAAGGTGACGAATTCAACTGAGTGCGAAAATTACGAGTTTAGCCCTCAATGAAAACTACCATGTTAAAAGTAATGGACGCATGCCAAAGAATACAAATACAAATAGTACGTACGCATTATGTAGTTAAAAATATGATGTTTAGAACAATTCAATTTCTGGGATTTTTCATTTTCCAACATGAGCTATTGATATAAAAATGGAGAGATTGATCATATCTTCCAGATGAATGAGACGCTGAGCATTTTAAAGGAATTAACGCCACAACAATCAGATTGTACACAAAAAATGAAGGAATAGCATCTTGGGAGAGCTTTTGGTATTCTAAAATCCACGAAACCAAAACAGGAACTGCTAACTTGTAAATCGAAAAGAAAGGGTAACCAATCACGTAATCATCAAGCATAGAAATACGTTCATAACCATGATATTTTTGCAGAGTTATAGGACAAACTTAAAAAGCAAATCATTGCACATCATATCGGGAAATATCTGGGGAAAAAATACAACCTGGATGAAAAGACTATATTCATCAATATTTTTATTTTTATATATAGACAACTGAGGAAAATCCTATATAGAAATTATCATCAAGCACACAAACTGGATGCTCAATATGTCATTTCTTTGAGTTAAATGTAGAGCATTAAACGCAATACATTAGACGACTACTCCAAATGCATTCCTGCACTGTAAAGGCTGCTTTAGAGCTATTCGAAGGAAATATAGAGAAAATTGACATATATCATTGAAAGAGGCACTTGAAAGGAATAAATCCAAAACGGATAAGTGAACACTTCCATGAACACTGAAGCTGATAAATAGGGTTTTAGGTAAAAGAGAATATATAAACAATAAAATCCAGCGTCCTAAAAATATGCTCAGTAAAAAGATCAAAGCCCAAGGGCAACCATATACACCTAAGTCAAACAAAAAAGGTTCTCTAAACATAACTGTGAAGAAACCCAAACAGTCGCTCAATTCTGCATCCAGCGAATTCACTACTTTAGAGATTTCCACAGCAGAACATATTTATATTATTTTAATATTTCGACAGAAGACGAAAAAATTTACGTTATGCATGTACGATGTGAGACGAAAATCTAAGCAAACATGTAAGCACATCCAAAAAGATGATTGCAGTCGAGGCAGGAAACATGGAAAATCAATAGACTAATCCAAGGAATGGTGGAGAATAACGCGGAGGAGAATCCACTAACCGGGGTCACACTGCTGGTAGAAGTCCTCCATCTCTGCAACGTCAGAGGAGAAGAAAGGAGGAAAGAAATCAGCAAAAGCCAACGGAAAATTCAAAGAGAAAAATGGAGGGAAAACCGAAAAAAACGGAGAGAGGAGACGAAGAGTGGAATGCTGCGAGGGAGTGCCGGAGAGGAGAGGCAACCGGAGGTGAGGGCCTTTATGATGCCGGCCCTCCGGCCCTTGAAATCGCGGTAGACCTCCTCGACTGTCCTCGGATTGTACGGTGCGGATCCGTCCATGCCGGCGCGGTAGCTCTCGCCACCACTGCGGCAGCTGTAAGAACCAAGGTGCAGCCGATACTTGGACGGAGGGAAGGGGGGGAAGCTCACCGGAGAGTTCGGCTTCGTCGAGGACCTGCCCGGAGCAGAAATCAGGACAGGGAGAACAGGAAATCTCCGCAGCAGAATAAGAACGGCTACACAGAAAGAGAGCAAGAGAGAGAGAGAGACAGGGAGCTTCTCTTAAGAAGGGCACTCACGGGAATTTCGTAGTTTTCACGTCTGAGGGCAGCATCGAAGACTTGTGGGCCCGGGGGGGGAGAGAGAGAGAGGGAATGGACGGATTAACTGGATTGGATAGGACAGAGAGAGGTCCAACCGAGAGTGGGACCCACCCGAGAGATCCTGTCCTACTTCAAAGAGACCGATCGCTCACCCGACACGTAAATGACAAAATTACGCCGATAAAACATTCAAATGTGAAAAGTATTTTTATTTTAAAATAATAGCAATTTATTCCGATTCTCCAAATATATAGGATCCTTCCCCGCTGAGGGGCTTCAACAGGGCCTTGCGAAGCCCAGCAGCACCCCAAAAACTCATTGTTAAGGCCCATCAAGATCATTACGGTGAGGAGCCTGTGTCGTTATTGGGCCCGTAAGTGCTCCAATGCGGCCCATAATAAAACGATCTCTCCTTTTTTACCGATAGAAATCGGGGCCATGAAATCTGATCAGCCACCGTTGATCTCATGCACCTCATCGCATGGTCCATTTTGGATATGGGCAATATCACCCCTTCGATGCGGATCGGACGGATGGGATTACTTTGAAGAATGTTAAAATTATGCACAAATGCAACTTTTGCGCTATTAACCTAGGAGTTCTATTGAGAAAATGTAGGACTGCCAGCGTGGCGTCCTCCGTGGCATACCAGACTTACCGTTCTCGTTCCCGATGACGTGGCAACAGTTGACTTAAAGTGGGATCTTAGCTACAATACGGAAATTGGGGCCGTTATTGATGACGGCAATGCGGTTCAACTATTGGTTAGATATCTCTCCTGACGTGCATAATTTTATATAACTCCCTGTGAAAGTATCCTAGCACGGCGACGACATTGAGAAGACGGTCGGCGGTCCAGGTGACCGCTGGAGAGAGAGAGAGTACGGTGACCAGCAAAAGAGAGACTGGAAATGGCGTAGCCGACCAGACAAAGCGTGCGGGTTTTCGATCTTCGCAGAATCTTTTCCCCCTCGTCTCTCCTGATCTTACACTCTTTTGTCATCTCTCTACTCTTTTTCCAGAGAGAGAGAGAGAGGGAGGGAGAGAGAGGGGGAGAGGGCATCCGAACCTTCTCTCTCTCTCTCCTTCATCTTCTTTTCCTCTCTTTCTCTCTCTACCCCCCTTAATTAAGACCATAAGCTCCTCTCCATAGAGGGAGAGCTGTAAGGACTCGCCTTGTTATTTGTCTTTCTTCGTGTTCTCCACCTAATCTTGACGCAAACCTCGGAGCCGCATGAAAACGACTAGAAAAATAATATTCAATGGAAACCTCCGTTTACCGCGGAAGAACGAAAACCAGAGTTTCCGCCCAATTATCCCAAAGATCCTCATCTCTATCTCTCTCTTTCTCTCTCTCTCTGCCTGTTATTTTTTTTTTCTGTTAATGGAAATGGTTAGGAACAGCGTGGCGGACGGCGACGGGGGTCCAGGCGGGTCGTCTCGAACACCGGGAGCCCGTCCATGAACCTTTTCTCCCCGCCGGTGGCCGGGGCGGAGATGGCAGACAGATTCTCCAGCTCGAAGAGATCGGAGCTCGAGCAGCTGCCGCCGTCGTCATCTCCATCTTCGTCCTTCTCCCCCTCCTCCGCCCTCTTCCTCTCCTGAAACCCCTCCACGGCCGCCGCCGCCCTCTCCACGGCGAGCTTCCTTTCTTCACCCCGCCGAGTGGGAACCATGCAGGCAGGCGGCGGCGGCGGCACCACCGCCGCTGCTCCGGTGGGCTTTGACTTCCTGGTGGTCCCCGCGGCGGAGAACAGGCCGTGGAGCAAGCTGGTGAGCCGACCGCCGGGGGAAATCGGGATCTTCGCCTTCCTCAGCTCGCTGTACACCTTCGACGACCGGAAAATCTCCCTGATCGAGCTTTCCCTCCTCCTCCTTTCTGGCGATGTCGCTGGTGGAGCGGCAGCGGAGGGAAGGGGCGGCGGCGCCGACTTGGGAAAGGACCGCTCTTCCGTCTGGTTCCTGCAGCGGTGGAAGTGGTGGTTCCACACGGCGGATGAGGGCGGCGGCGGCACCGACTTGGGGAAGAACCGCTCCTCCCTATGGTTCCTGAAGGGGCACAGGTGGTGGTCCCGGTCGACGGAGGAGGGCGGCGGCGGAGCCGACTTTGGGAAGAACCGCTCCTCCCTATGATTCCTGCAGCGGCACAGGTGGTGGTCCCAGACAACGGAGGAGGGCTGCGGCGGAGCCGACTTTGGGAAGAACCGCTCCTCCCTATGGTTCCTGCAGCGGCACAGGTGGTGGTCCCAGACGGCGGAGGAGGGCGGCGGCGGAGCCGACTTTGGGAAGAACCGCTCCTCCCTATGGTTCCTGCAGCGGCACAGGTGGTGGTCCCAGACGGCGGAGGAGGGCGGCGGCGGAGCCGACTTTGGGAAGAACCGCTCCTCCCTATAGTTCCTGCAGCGGCACAGGTGGTGGTCACAGACGGCGGCGGAGGGCGGCGCCGCCGCCGCCGCTCGGTGGAGCTCTCGCCGCCTTGGAGCGGCGGCGGCGGAGGCGGCGACTGGTGGTCCTCTTCCTCCAGAGGTGTCGTCGTCGTCGATGGAGCGGTAGACGGCGTCGAGGAGGCTGGAGGAGAAGGAGCGGTGGTACTTGCCGACGGCGGCGGTTCCTGCGCCCCCGCCTCCTCGGTGGTGAAGCTTTTCCCACCTTTCCATGGTCACAGTGGACGATGAACCAGGCCGACTACTGCCTAGAGAGAGAGAGAGAGACGACGGTCTTCTTCAAGCTACGAACAAATGCTGGGTGGTTTTGAGATGGCGAGACGAGGGGGTAGGCCCACCTCCGATGACATGGCATCCCCCGATGGGCTTTTATCGGGCCCAGCGAGGCCGGTCTAGATGACACCCAGTTTATAATATTTATTTATTTTATTTTATGTCGCCATTTAAAATATCACAATTAACTAATTTATGCCGTTCACATTTTCATCCCTAAGATACCGGGTTATTATTAGCTTTTTTAAAGTCAAGGACATTTTTAAATTAAGCACCGATAAAGATATAAATTTCCAATAATGTACCACGAAGTCAATGAAGTTATCACGCAACTTTAATTCTATTTAAATTAAGCACGGATAATTGATCAAAAGTAGATAATGTTTTCTTACCTTAAAAAGTAGCATTTTTAAGAATATATAGACTAATGGGGGGAGAAATAAAGCTTTCGCAGGAACCATCCCACACTGTTGCCATATAGGGAAGAGCATCGGGGGGGGCGGGAGAGAGAGAGAGAGAGAGAGGAGAGAACGAGAGTCGTACAAGTTTGACTTTCTAGAATAGCTTGGTTATAACGATGGTTTGTACTGTGGAATTAAACGCACATACTGCGTGAATAGTAAGTTTGACTTCTCACTCGCCATTTCTTTCTCTGTCTAGTATTTCTAGGTGCCTACTATAAACGATGCATTGTCGGTATGAAGTAGGCGTGCACAGGCCGTGGGTATCTGGGGAAGGAGCCTGGCCTCCTGGGAAGGCGGCGGATATTCTCTCTCTACGTTTATTAAGGTTGCTTGTGGTGTCGAGTTGACTCTTGTCTCTCTCTCTCCTCTCTACCTAGTGGTCAACAGGCCTTCTTCGTAGACTCCTGTAGAACGACGACCGAGCCCCCCCGTGATTTAATCACCACCACCACCTCTTTATCTCTCTCTCTATCAAGAACAGTGATCACCATTCCTTCCTCACCAGATCTCCCGTCTAATGACGTCGATCGAGTCCCCACGTGTCCACGCACTCTATACTCTCTCCCTCGTGGAGGTAGAGGTAGAGGGAGAGAGAGAGAGAGAGAGAGAGAGAGAGAGAGAGAGAGAGAGGCAGCCACGTGGCAGGTAGGCATAGTTTCGGGCTTCTCTACTGGCGGGCCTTGGGATGGTCATAAAGTTTAGGCTCTCAAAGAAGGCCCAATCGTCTGCGGCCGATATTTTCGAAAGTTGACTGGGTTGGCTGGGTCAACAAATTTGATCTAGCCCAAAATTTGTCTTTGAAATTGGGCTGGGCCCACATTTTATCTTATTGGGCTGCCTGGGTGACGACTTCCGTACGAATCGGACGGCGGTCTCCCATTGGCTGATATTGCTGAGTGGATAACGTTATCAGCCCATTTTGAACGTAAATTAGCCACGTGGCAAGATATCGATGACGTGGCACAGCAAATCTATCACCCCCTTTTGTCCTCCACCCACCTCCTTTCTTCCTCCACTCTCTCTCTATCTCTACCTCTCTCTCTCTCTCTCTCTCTCTCTCTCTCTTAATCCCCCTCCGCCACCAGTTTCTGCTGCTCATCCTCCCCACAAGAAACACCACCGCAGAGGCGAAGGCGATCCAGAAGCTTCCTCGTGCAAATGGCATCCACCTCGGCGATCTCGATGGCGGTGCCCGCAACCGCAGCAGTGGCGGGGAGGAGAATCGGCGCCGCCGCCGCGCCTTTGGGCGGCTGCTTGACCTTGAATAGGACGCACTCCGGCGGGGCCAGGGCCGGAGGGCGCCTCCAGATCAGGACGGCAGCCGGCGGCGACAAGGCGGCGGCGGGGTTGACGGCGGCGGCGATCGCGGCGGCGCTGGTACTGCCAGAGATGGCGGAGGCGGCGCAGCCGGGGATCTCCCCGTCGCTGAAGAACTTCCTGCTCAGCATCGCCTCGGGGGGGCTCGTGCTCGGGGTGATCCTCGGGGCCGTCATCGCCGTCTCCAACTTCGACCCTGTTAAGCGGACCTGAAAACCCTAGCTCTATGATCCTGGTCTGTATCTTCTTCTTCTTCTTCCTCCTGAAATTCCCCCGATCGAGCCTTGTGTGCTTTTGGAATCCTTCTGTGGTCTGTCAGAAACGCTTCTAGATCTGCGATCCGATGAGACCTCCTCCTCCTCCTCTTCCAACCGAGATCTAACTGCGGAGCTCCTTCCTCCGCAAGGTTTTCCGGCGAAGATCGACGAGCGCGGAGTAGAGTCTGGATCGGCGGAAGAAATCTGCGTGAAGAATGGCTCTCTGATCCTTAACATGCATTCGATCTCCACGAACACTAGAAACCACAGAGGGAGAGAGAGAGTGTTCCGGGTACCTCGATCTCGGCGGCCATGGCGGGCAGCGGCAACACCATCGGCAATTCTACTCAGCTCGTCTTACAGAGATGAACTAATTTAAAACACATTGTTGTCAGCTAACAAAATTAGTCAATTAACACGCGGATCAGTCTCAATTTGGTAAAAAGAGCCAGGGATTTAAATTAATTGGCCATTTATCGTTAAGAGGGAGCAGACCCATCAATCCAAAGCGTTCAGAGACTTCCTTCCGATCTAAAGAACACAAAAAGTCATACACAAAAATATTCTGGCTGAATACCGCAAGCCATTTAATTAGATCCAAAACCCTCCAACCTCAATCCTCTCCTACCCAGTTGGACGATCATCAACTTCGATAATTGTCTCCAAGCTTGGGTCAACTCCAAGCTCCATAGGTATAGAAACCAGAGGGATTTACAGACCACTCGCACAAATTAATGGCGGATTTACCTCATAAGCTCCAGCCTGTCGCCCTCACTGGGTTCTCCTCTGTTTCCGTCGGCGGCGGCGGCGGCGGCGGCGGCGGTAGTGGGGTCCATAGCGCTCGTTTAGGCCGTCGACCAGCTGCCACCTGTCGTCGTCCTCCGGCTTCTCTGGAGGCTCCGGGGGAGCCGGAGAGGACTCCAAATGACTGCGGCGACGCCTCCGCTGGAGTCTTCTACGCTCGCTGGCGTCGTCCCTCTCCCTCTGATCTCGCCGGTGGCGATCGCCGCCGCTCCGGCCGCTTGTCTCCCTTGCTACTCCGGCGACGGCGCTTGGTCCTCTCTCTCTCTCTCGGAGATCTCCTCTGGATTTCCTGATTTCTGGGATCACGATCTCTTCTCTGCGGTGATATTCACGCCCGTGGGCCGTTTTCTAGCGTTTTCCTCGTCGAAGAAGCCACCGGAGTCGCTTGATCTTCCCCGGGGAGAAGGTTGATGGAGATCATCCCTGGAATTATTATCTCTACCATCGTCGTCCTCCGGTGTTTGTTCTCTGAGGAAAAAGGGAGGAAGAAGGTGGCCATGTCAGACGAAGAAGACGATCGGAAGATAACCAGCCATTCCGGCAAAGAAGGTGAGCATCACCTGCGCGCCTTCTTTCACCCTCGAAAGGCTCCACAACTCCGCCATGGCCGGCCGCCTGTGCTGCTCCAGCTGCCATGGGAGCTCCGAAACCTCCCATCCTCATTGACCCATTAAAGAAACTTCAATAGATTTGCCATCAAATCCTTGCTCCTGACTCAATTCTTCGAACCCTTTTCTCGGAAGAGAGAGGAGGGGGCAGAGTAGGAGCCTTCTAACCAGGTCAACGGCAGGCCACCATACACGGGAGAAACGTAAGGAATGCACTAAGGTTGAGTTGACGTTTTCACAGGGTCAAAGGCCAGCATCTGAGCAGCACCATACATGTTCATATAAGGAAAAGCGCCGCCAGGCCAATAAGCTGGCCCATAAGGGGGGAAACCTCCATGGAAGGCGGTGTTGCCTGAGGGGAAGACATCATGAAAAAGCTGCTAAAATATTCCAGCATTGCTGATAAATGTTTGAAAGCAGGGGAAGAGAGATAAGGGAAGGGGAAACTCTCTTTACCGGCCTGGTGGAGCGAAGAAAATGGATTCGAGCATGAGAGGCAGTCTCTGACTAGTGGTCTGGGGAGCCACACATGAAACAGTAGCGGTCGCCCTGTTTTCCAGCAAGGCAGATGAGAAGCCCCAAGAACAATGAAGCAGAAAATTATAGAATTTCTTGGCAACTATCACCATGTCTCATTGTCAACGGTGGATTGCGCGTCAGCGATCGAGACCGCTGCAGAAACAATGCTTGCCCTCGACAATATGTTTTGAGAAATAATCTTTTTTCACTCGCAATAATCTATTTTCAGTCTATAATCAGAGTATTTCGTCTGTGATTTTTCCTCTTTATTTTTTCTCGGTAATTAGACATGCGCCTTTCTTTCTTTTTTCTTCTTTTCTCTGACAGTTTATTTTAATTCAGGCAAACAGCTATAAAACCGGCATTTTCTCCATACGATCAAACTACCCTTGACATTGTAATGGATTATTCCAACGGGACCAGCTCTTCCGGCCGATTCCCAGCTCCTAATATGATCCCAAGATGTGACATAAGGCTTAAAAATGACAGGGTGAGAAGATTTCTTCAATGAACTTTACCTTTCTAGGCTTACAAGGGGGGAAGCCAGTTCCACTCGCATCTGCAATTTCCATACAATTCACAACACGTTGGTATATACTCCAGAAAAATAGCCACGCAAAATAGGTGCCACAGTGATCTACGGAATCTCTGAAGAAAATGAAAAAAAAAGATGTGTAAGAGCGTTACCAACTGAGGTAGCAACGAAACCCGTTTTCTTCCTGGCTGGAATGACATAAAAATTCAATGTCATATGGTGTGAATTAAGTAAAAATCCATGGCAGAATATCTCACTCAGGCAGACTGATCCCTGAATCACAACAGAAACTGAACTTTGGCGACTAATGCAACAAAGAAAACGGTACAGTTTCAGGAAGCAGTGTAATCAGACCGCCCTTGTAAAATAGAACTCGGAGATTTACATGAATTTATATGCCTAAAGGTGAACAGAAGAGAGTAATTAAAATCAAATTGCAGTTGCACCAAGAATCATGAACGTGAGCTGAATAAAACGTCAGCAACAATAAAATAAAATAAACTAAAATAAAATAAAATGAATCCATACACAGCATGCGGATGAAGCGCCACGTCACAACTGAACAGATGCAGAAGAACCCAACTCAGGCAGTGAAGGGGATCGTAGAAGGAATGGACTGGCATGTCCACCTTTTTTAAAAGACGGCAGTTTAGTATGGATCGCATGGGAAAGTAATTTCGTAATACTAAATCCGTAAAATTTATGCAGGTCAGAGAGAGGTAATGCCTGTTTCTTAAAACGGCTTTATTTCCCTAAGCTGCTTAAGCAAGTAATTTCATACAATACAAATCAATGTAATTTGGTGGAGCATGTTAGGAAACAAAACCTATGTAGGGTATCTGCCACAATATTCAATGGAAAATCTACTATTAATCCTGTATCTTCATACCTTCCTCTTTCTGAGTCGGTGCCAACTTTGAAGAACTCCCACTTTCTCCCAGACGAGTCATGTCTTTTAAGCTTTCCGGAGCATCATCGCTCTTATTCTGCGTTTTCTTTTTAGGCAGGCACGTAGTTGATACTGCACTACCATCTTCAGTAAGACTGATGACATTAAAGCCAGAACCAGGAACCATTTGTTCGGTTCCTATTCGTGATTCACATGCAGATTCAATCACAACCTGATCAGATCCTTTTCCTGGCACAGAAGGGAAACACAGCAAGGTCTGTTCATGTCCCTGGATCGACAGAGCACCAGACACCTCTTTTGCTTGAATTCTTGATTCTCCATCTTAATTTCAATACAGTAGACAAAAATATCAGACATGGATCCAGCCAGTGTCAATAACAAAGTAGCAGCTTCATGATGCAGCCCAAAAACCCTGAAGCCCATTACTGAAGTAGCCTGAAGCCCAGTATAATGCACCATGAAGCCCATTACTATTGCAGCTTGAAGCCCACTTTACTTGATGCACCTTGAAGCCCATTACTGTTGCAGCTCAAAGCTCACTTTACTGGCCCAATTACGAAATTAGGCCCATATATCTATTTTTATTATTTTTTATATTTCATTTGAAATTCAAATGTAAATTTCATATTCAAATTTTCGTTTGAAATTCAAATTTCATCCAAAATTCAAATTTGATCTGAAATTGAAATTTCAGCCAAAATTTAATTTCAAATTTAGATTTCATTTGAAATTTAAATATTCGCACCCAAATCAAAACTCTTTAGCCTATTTAAAGGCACCCTTGTAGCCCCAGAGGCATATTACCTTTTTTCAATATAATTTCGTGAGTTTTCTTCTCTTAAAGTTCTCTCCTTCTACTTGTGGACTCCAACACCCCTGTGGACTCAAGGAACATGTTCTTGATTCTGTGGATTCATAATCACCCCCTTGTGGATTTAATGGACATGTCCTCTTCACCCTATGGATTTAGAGCGAAAGGACAACCACTGGAGCACATTTTTCAAGGATTTAAGCCATGTCTTCAACCCCCACAACATCAAGTTGATCACAACTCGTTCAAGCCATTCCCTCAAGTTTTGCTGCGTCACTTCACATCTCACCAGGTGCATATCTCGGAATATATTGATATGAAAGAGTCAGAATCTGGGCCTCAAGAAAATGTCCTGTAGTATGCTTGAGTGAGAGGCTAGGAAGTAAATCTTCAATTTGAGGAACATTAGGGGCGGCGACCTTTATCTGCTAGAGCCACATGGATACTTGCCGACATATAAATCACGTTAGGTACAAACAGGCAATATATATTTGATGCAACCAAACTTGAGGAGGGAATGACTTGAATGAGTTGTGATCAACTCTAGTATTGTGGGGGTTGAAGTCATATCTTGAATCCTCAAAAAATATGCTCTAGTGGTTGTCCTTTCCACTCTGAATCCACAAGTTGAGGAGGACAAAGCCCTTGAGTTCACAAGAGGGTGATTCTTAATCCACAGAATCAAAAATAGGGTTCCCTGAGTCCACAAGGGTGCTATAGTCCACTAGTAGAAGAAGAGAACTTTAAGAGAATAAACTCATGAAATTGT